AAAGTAATAAATAATGAGGAATGGATACAGTACAGTGAAAGTAATAAATAATGAGGAATGGATACAGTGTGACTGAGCACTTACCTTTAATGTAGTCAGCTGAATGCACATGGGGCCCCCATAATTTTCTAATTATACATAGAGACTACATTAACTGGAAACGTTTCGGTATTGAAAATGCGTGCGTCAGTTGAAAAAAAAAAAAAAATTGAAAAAAAAAAATGGTCACAACTGCAGCGGTCGTAAGTCCCGACGGTCGTAAGTCGAAGCAGTCGTAAGTCGGGGTATAGCTGTATTTTCAATTTCATGGCCGTTCTTTATACAGTAATGGCAAAACCTAACATGTTTATTTGATTCAATCTTAACACATGAGTCAAACTGAAACTCAGGATTACCAGATGAAGAATAAGACTTCAGGGAGTAGCCAGACCCAGACAACTTACCAACCCTGACTAAAGAAACCTGAGACCGTGCATGCTTCCCATTGGTGGCGTCTGGTTTGTTTGCATATCTGAAATCATAGGTTTTATGAGTAGGGGCAAAATTCTCTGCTAATGTGGCTGCCTTTGACAATGTAAAAATATCTTTTTCATCTACCGTAAATACAATCTAACAGGATTAGGAATTTGTCTCTAAAATTCTTCAATCAATATCAACTGATACAATTTATCATAATCCTAGACATCAGTCTCTCTCAACCAGTGAGAGTTGTGAACTCTGGAACAATCCACCAGAAAGTGTTGTGACAGCACCGAGTGTGAGCTCTTTCAAGACCAGACTTGACCAACACTGGAGCAGGTTCAGATACATTCAGGAGCCGGTGCATGCTCAGTACTTGCCAACAGTGCGTAAGAGAGACGTGATCGATCGCCCAAGCGGCTAACGAGCCGATCAGTGGTGAAGAGAATAAAAGTAAAGTAAATTGTAAATGATTAAACAATCTTTTCTTCTCACTTGTAAATTCAGAATAATACTGTACATTTCTGGTACAAGATCATAGCTCTGTAATATTGCCATCTTCATGATGTCATAAACTTGATTCAGTAAGTGACACATAAGTAGTGCAGGCTTTACCTACAAAAGTTGTTTGAGCTAAAATTGTCCAGTGAGTCTAAGGAAAACTAAGTGATTGTGCTCCCTTTTCAAACTGCAATAAAAATAATTCTGGATCGGGTTCATCAAATGAAGACACCATTTTTGCATACTGTATTTAGTTACATCAAAGACTTCTGGTTGTGGAGTAACTCACCTGCACAGCAGGACTAGATCATCTTAAATGTAACATTTGATATTCATGTGGTCTTTATTTCTCTGCATTTTCCTTTTCTAACTTATTTCATGTTATCAACTCGGAGGTATTTAAAAAAAAAATAATTCCAAAGCACAATCAGGTTAAATATAATTCTCAGTTAACAACATGTGACAGACTTCTTAATCATACTTTTAGTCATTGAAGCTTTCAATTCTACTTTATATGTCTTTTTAATGAAATCCAGTCATCTTTCTTACTAAACTGTTCTTCTGATGGATTCTTCACAAATTCACTAAGAACAAAATCTCCCATGGCTGTAAACTAGATGCTTAAATGCAATTAAATATTTAAGTCATAACTCCTAGGACAGGCTCTTGACAAGCTTCAATAGGTCAGTTATTGTTTAAATGTGAAGGAGAAAACCCAGAGTGAAAAATACACTTAAAACAAACCAATATATTTACAAAGAAAACTCACGCACGAACATTACATTTAAATTTCTGTTAAACATCTTAAAAATTAAATTATATCGACAATCATAACAAGAATAACTTATCTGTTGAATTGAACACAGGTCAGTCACATAAGTAAACAAAATAAATACCCAGACAACACCAAGAGAATTGGGGAAGCAGGTCTGACACACAGTAGTCAGTGTCAGGAGTAAAACCGGCTCTCAATCGGCTTTTCCCAACCTGACAGGTGGATGGCGGTAATTTAAGGTCCTCTGGTGTTCATCACCGGAATCACAGTACAGTACTGTAACTACAGTAGTCTAATGGCTGTTATGCAGAAACTAGCTAATGTAATTAGAATAAATCAACTAAATAAATGTAGTTTACATGTCATATTACTACAAACTAGTCCAAATAATTTAATTAGAATATAATATATACACAACACCTGGATTTATATGAGCTTGAATGAAATCACAAATTCCTGATTCACTGGAACTCTCCGTAATCCCAAGTCATCTTGACTCAGGATTCATGACACAGGAAATGATACAATTATTATGCAATTTCTTCATTAAAAATGCCAACAAGTGTACTGTTCTTGATATAAACAAAAGCGCTGAAATATGATTCACCACTAAGCATTTAGCACATAAGGAAGTACATGAGTAGACTGATTGTTGCTAAAGAGTAAAGTAAAATTACAGTATAAATGCTATTTTTTTTTACATACTGAGAGAGATTGAGACAAAATAATTCTCTAATAAACCTTTCTTCATTATCAATAACAGAAGTTTAGATGATGAAGGACAAATATACCTTGATTAATATTTCTCCTTTGATTACCTTTTGCGTATAACAAAAAACTTCTCTAACACATAATAAAATGACATTTGGAAACAAATCTTAAATATTTTGCATGAATAAAAATGTTAAATGATGTACGTACAGACACTCCTTGGGTTACGAATGACCCGGGTTGCGAATTCTCTGACTTTATGGATACTCTCCCATAAGTCCTATTTTAAAATGAGTGCCAGGTTGTTACTGAAGAGCAGAGTACAGTACTGTATATGTAATTTTTTATAATTTTACTTAGTTAACCAGTTACCGGTAGTGGTCACTGACGTAAATTACGTCATCCCTTGGCATTCACTAATTGGTCACTGACATAGTTTACATCACGTAAAGCAAGCTTTCCGTGGGCTTTGCTAAGGTCTCCCATGGGTCCCGATCTGTAGAATACTGTAACTCATTTTATATGACTTGGCAACTCAAGGTTATAAATAGATGAGTGTGTGGAGGCCGCAAAAACAGAGACAAGGCAGGTTGTGTGTGTGTGTGTACAGGGTGGTGTAATGTGTCCTCTCGCTTTCAGCTACCACCGCTGGCTACCCCTTGTAGCGAACAGCAGCCATTAGTGAGTCCCTGCTCCCAGACGAGGGTCGACTCACTTCCGTTTTACGGAAAGCCTCCAGAAACAGAACCCATCCTTTACCCGAGGAGTGTCTATTTACTGTACACAGGTAAAATACCTGTACAGTTGACTTAGTCCTAAAGTTTGACTGATGGATGTTGTCTTTTTGCCAGTCTCACTGTGCCTTTGCCAGTCTCACTGTTGCAGGGCAGAGGTGGATTTGAAAGATGCTAGATGCTGTTGGCTTGTAAACAATTTCATACAAACTGCTTTGAACATAAGTACAGTAACATTTCTAATGGGTAACTACTGTACATATTTTCCACCCCAAAAGAATCAAATACTGTACTGTAATGGTATAATTCAAAGACTATTAAAATTAGAAATAAAGGGATAATTTTTTATCCAGACAAACTTAAGTACATATCGTAAATGAAAGTATACCTGTACTGTACAACAAAGGACAGTCAAATATTAATATACAGTACAGTATAAGAATCAACAGTCAAAAGGAGTTCATTAAATACAGAACTACAGTATACACACAATTGAGTTATTCCTTGAAACCTAAAGCTGTATACTTTTTGTTTCAGTATCTAATAAAAGCTATACTGTACAGTACATATCTCACAAAGAGAAGCAATCTGGGATTTATGAATTTGTTGTACACTCGCAACAAAAAGTATTGGTGCATACTGTAGTGTGAACAATATGAGACCAGTGACGATAGGTATTGGGAAAAGCGAGTTGTTCCAGCCGAATGTTGGCAACCCTGGTCAAGTGAAACAAACCGTTATAAAAAAGGTCGGGAAGTGATAAATAGACGGTATAAAATATGAGGAGCTCTCTGTTAACAAAATTATTTGTGATACTTGTGAATATTGCCACATTAATTTATGCTACCAAATAAACCACACAACCTGGTCGTCCTGACGGGTGGTGCAGCGTAGACGGCCGCCCCGAGACCTGTCGTCTGTAGCACCAGTTTCGAGGTATCGCCGAATCCATCGTGCAGCGGTGTTCCTGTGGACACCAATCCGCTGGCTAATATCTGTGACGCCGAACCCTTTGTTATGAAGGGCAATAATAGCTCCTCGTGTTCCCCCTGAGGTTTCCATGTTGTCCGGCATGTGTAGATCTCTACTGCTTCATATTGCCTCTGTTTTATACCCACGTTCACCGAGACCGAACCCTCGCTCATCATTCAGTCAACACAAAGCAACAATCCGAAAAGAGGAAACAAACATACTGATTGTCAGCCATATGGCAACACCTAGTGGAGGAGGGGGGGTTATGAGGATACACTTACCAACCTTCCCGACTTATCACAGTGTATACGTATCGTTTTGGAAGTCGTCGATCTCACCCTGCACCGATACTTTTTGGTGCAAGTGTACAACCATATTAGTCCACATCTGTTAGTCTCCAAGATAAATGGTCAACTACAGTTGTACAGGCTATTACCTAGCAGGACCTATGTCCACATGATATAAATAAGTCTTTTTATATTCATCCAAGATGAAAAAAATTGCATTATTATTATTATATTTGTAATAAAAAAGTTCAACTTATGCATAAGATTTCCAAACACTAAAGTATAAAAAATTACATCTTATTTAATCTCAAATAAAAAGCTTTGGCATATTATGGTAACACTGGAGGATGGCTGTGTACCTGAACCACCAACTTGGGGATATTTCTCTATAGCATATAAATGCTTTCTCACCTCATGAAAATACCTAAAAGTTAACAAGGAAAAAGTCTTTCGTAATACTGTACCTGTATCATTTTTACAATTTCTTCCATCCTGAACACTAATCTAGAGTCAGAAACTTTGAGCTCTGACAGTATTGCGCTTTTGTTTATGTCCAGGATATTTTGTTGGTTCCTTTCATGGACAGGATTTTTTTTTTTTTTTATAAATACTTGTATTAAAAGAAATTTATAACTAATACTTTAGGTTAGGTTAGATAGATCAGGTTGGTTCATTTTATAAACAAATATTCCCAGACCTTGGCAAATGACTCCACCAGTTGCTCCAGGCAACTGTTGGTCTTGTCTACACCCAGAACCCCAATAATATAAGAAAAGAAAGTGTTGACACCTTAAAATAAAATAATATGTACAGTATACAGTATTATCTTCTACTATCATCTAGACATAAAAAAATTCCATCTTTGATAGCAGTGCTGGATTTAGGCAAAAACTAAGTAAGCTACAGATTAAGGCCTAACCTCACTCGAACCATTACAGACAAGTCACTTAAGTTTTGTAGGAGACTCCATCAAAACCAGACTTGGAGTAATTGTGATTTAAATTAAACTTAATTACAACATTTTGTGTAATTGTAATTGACACGCAACACTTGTGAACTCAAGTCATCATCATCTTGCCGACATCACATGAGCCCTAATAGTGTGGCAACACAGTCCTGATCTGCTAATCTCCATGTAAAAAAAAAAGCAATCACATGTGATAACGTTGCAAAATATTGTATTTCCAATTTTAGTTGATTTAGAAGCATCAGAAGAACAGTTGTGTGAAGATGTAAAGCTCTGATAGAAGACTATCTTGGTGATGTTGATGTTAACTTTGTTGAGAAATACTGTACAGCATTTACATGCTTATATCAAGCTAAATTATTCAGATTATGGACATTTATGCCACAAGGACCTTTATCGAGTTGTCTTCCAAGATATGATTCAGTTAGTTTTCCTAACGTAGAAGCAATGTTGCAGCTATTGTTTAGTCTAATGGGCCATTATACTAAAAAAAATAACTGCAATGGTAACAAACTGCTCAGTTAAAATTTCATGTTCATTGCTGAAGAGGATTAAGAGTGAACTGCAAACATCAATGCTGCAAAAAAGCTGCCTGCATTAATCATTATGTGCATAGAGAGTGATAAACTTTATAGCTAATCATTTGATGACATCTTCCATGACTTTGCTCTTCGGAAATCATGAAAGAGAATGTTTTAAATTTGTGCAAACAGAAGGGACAGTGCAACTTGCATTACTGCTTCCATTTACTAAGTGCTGATTTGTGCAATGCTTTATGACATAAGTCTTCAATTTCAAATATGCTAATTAAGAAATCATAAGGCATATGATAATGCAAATAAGGTTTTTTGCAAGATGTATATTTTATTTAGGTTATGAGTTGTTCATTGCATTTTTGTCTATGTATACTGTACTGTATATGAAAATATAAGGTTCTATCATTTATTTTTTCATTCCCCTTGCTATTAGAATGTAATAGTTCTTTCTCTTTACTATATTTTTTATTATGGTATGAGAGCTCTAAATCTTTACACACTTTAAGGCCTCAGTATGTCTTAATCTGGCTCTATATGAAATGAACCAACAAAATGGTCTAGAATTTCCTTGTCAACACTTTGGCCTTCTCATTAAATAAGAAAGCATTTATTTTCCTCAAGGAAATGTCCTCAGGTTGCTGGTTCAGGTACACAATCCTCCTCCAGTATTACACATACTGTACAGTACTATTAGGTGTACTGTTTTACCCCATCAATTAAAGCTTTTCACTGCAGTATTTACAAAACAAACATTAACAACTTTCATACATTTCTCGAGGTTTTGTTAAGGGGCATTCCCACATGGTTGGTTAAGGACCTTATATATCAATGACTAGCTCTGAGAACAACAATGAAAATAATGCCACCCTAAACCAGTCTGGTCACATGCCCAAATTGTGTTCCAAGAATACCAATTATACAACGATACCTCTTACCATCACCAACTATACAATGGTACCTCTTACCATCACCAACTATACAATGGTACCCCTTACCATCACCAACTATACAATGGTACAGTATCTCTAGCCATCACCAACTATACAATGGTACCTCTTACCATCACCAACTATACAATGGTACAGTACCTCTTACCATCACCAACTATACAATGGTACAGTACCTCTTACCATCACCAACTATACAATGGTACAGTACCTCTTACCATCACCAACTATACAATGGTACAGTACCTCTTACCATCACCAACTATACAATGGTACAGTATCTCTTACCATCACCAACTATACAATGGTACAGTACCTCTTACCATCACCAACTATACAATGGTACAGTATCTCTTACCATCACCAACTATACAATGGTACAGTATTTCTTACCATCACCAACTATACAATGGTACAGTACCTCTTACCATCACCAACTATACAATGGTTCAGTATCTCTTACCATCACCAACTATACAATGGTACAGTACCTCTTACCATCACCAACTACACAATGGTACCTCTTACTTTCACTAAAATACACTTCAAATGTCACTACTGCCCCACTCTTAAAGCCATATACCAATGCCATAAAATTAACAATCTATTTCATCTTTAAGTCAATACACATTCATTCCCACACTATAGTACAGGCAGTTTACAGTAAACAATGAGGCTCTCTGTTCCTGAAATCTGCCAAGTTAATCAAAATGACACAAATTTAAACCAAAATTACCATAAGCTGAATATAATAAGCAGAGGTTAGTTATGTACAAGGGGTGATTTTGGTCCTAGAAAGGGTAATTTCTGGTTATTTTTCTATATCTAAAATGACCGTTTCTTTCTGAAATTAAACAAAACCTTTATTTCATCGATACATACAGATGGTATTCATTTATAGCAACAGTTCCATTCCTGAAAACATATGCGAAGTGCAAAATTGGGATGTGTGAAGCTATTTATCCCACAAGAAACAATTAAGGGGTACACATTTATGGCAATGTTTCCTATGACAGCTTGCATCTACTGTAAATATAGGGGACTCCGTAAATATATTAACGTACTTGATAGTTTTGACATTCTAGTTGGAATTCCCATATGTTTTAGGTAAATTCTTAACTAAACTGTAAACAAAAACGCTCTCACATTAAGTTTCAGCTTTGCACCATATTCAACAGCTATTAAAGGTATTGTGTAAAAACAAGAGCTCTCACATTGTATAAGCTTTGTGGTACTAAATTTTGGGGGTCCACAACGTAAAATCAAAACGACATTGAATGGACTAACATTAAGCGAGCACCATCTGTACCTACATATTCCTGACTACTGTACAAACTTTAAACAAAAAATAAATCTCTCCAACATTATCACTGTTGTTCTAACCTCCTATACCTTTATCACTGTTGTTCTAACCTTCTATCATACTCTATCACTGTTGTTCTAACCTCCTATACCTTTATCACTGTTGTTCTAACCTTCTATCATACTCTATCACTGTTGTTCTAACCTTTTATCATACTTTATCACTGTTGTTCTAGCCTTCCATCATAATTTATCACTGTTGTTCTAACCTTCTACCATACTTTATCACTGTTGTTCTGCACCTATCATACGTGTCACTGTATCATTTAGCCGTCGCCAAGCTGAAGGGGGTTCCAGTACCTCAACTGTCTCATCCTCACTGACAGACAATGAATCTTCTGGAGCTACGAGGAAGTACGCGAGAATACGAGCACGACACATGGGGCAGTTATCTAGGCGCCCGCAGCACACATCACATACACAAACGTGACGACAAGGCAATAAAGCACGTGTAGTCTTTTTGGTCTGAAATAATAATAATAAGGGTTAGTTACAGGTAAGTTAATAAGCTAGTTCAGGACATGTGAAGTTGGGTTAAGTTAGGTTGGTTATCTTATGCCCGGGAATTGGGGGTCAACTCATGACTGGCACTATGCAATTTTCATTGAAATTCTGAAATGCAACTAAAAATCAATGTTAACCTTGAATGCTTGAGGTAAACAGGAAATTTTGTATTACCACAAGGAGTAAGTAGCCGTGCCTTACCAGCCAAAAAGGTGATTAGAAAACTTACACAATGCCCGGTTTCCACTCTGTAAAGGGTAGGCTGGCAAAGGGAAGGACATCTAACTGTAAATGTTGTTTCAAATTTATCTTATGGCAACCAGGACACCATGCCATCCGGCAGCTAACCCACATGAGCATGTAAAACATCCTTAAAATGATGATGATAAGATAGACTTGCATTTCCCCAATGCATCTGAATATTTGTAAAAGTTTAACTTCAAGGGTTAAAAGTTGGCATGACACTGACTTTAGACCCAAACTTACTGCAGGTATACTGTACTGTATATATTTTCTTCACACATACACACAGGTTCTAAACACAGTGAAATACTAACTTTGAGCCCCTGAGATAACTTCTTTGGGTACAGTTAAGAAAAAGCAGCTGCAAAATAACTGAAGCATGTCAATGACCTGCACTGAAAAATACAAATCTATGATATGGGTGAACCCTTTCTTATTGGCAGAATAAAAGCAAGTACAGTACTGTACAGTAAAGAAGATCGATAAAGAAAACAAAAGATCAAGAATAGGAAAACACCAATAAAAGAATGAAACAATGAGTGGAAAAATAGCAATAATATTAACAAAAAATATCAGAAAGAGAAAAGATCACAAACAGAAACAAACTGAGAATGGGAAAGCCAAAATAATAAAGAAAAAAAGAGAATGGCATAAAATGCAATGAGAGTTATTCTGTCATGAAGGATTGTAATTCTTAATTTACCTGACACACAACACAGGCTTCCTCAAGGGGTACCTCTGCCTCCTCCTCATTTATGTCATTACTTGTACCCTTACTCTCAACTTCCACCTCTTCATCTGAAGAATCACTATTTCTATCTTCAGATTTCTGGCTTCCATTATTGCCCTGTGTGTACAAAGCCTGCAAAAAAAATGGTTTTCATTTCTAACAAGATCCAACATTCTTATTATCTATAACAAGATCAAACATTCTTATTATCTATTTGTAAGTGAATAAAAAAAAAGCCTACAAAGTTTTCTTTCCATCTTGGCCTGAATGATGAGGAACAGACACCCTGCCTCATAAGCTGTAAGTTGTAGTAGCTTTTTCCTTTCGCAAGAGCACTATTAAAGGGCTTTATTGTGACCCAATATGATTTAGTGAATAAGCTTCATTAGACATGTATGATAAAATTATTGTACAATGACAGTGACAAGGGAAAGCATCTGATCAAGTAGCCATAACTTCTAACAATCTATCTGAACTATATTTAATTGATTTATATCTAGCTTCTGACTTGGAAAAGAAATGACCAATCATATTTCTCTCTGACTCAAAAAGGAAATTATTTTAACCTCAGATTTTTTTTGCAAATCAAAACATGGGACAATATCTTTGTAAATCTGGGACTGCCAGTACTCTGAAAGAAATTAGAACTAAGTTAAACCTTGACATCATAACTAGAATCCATTGACTATCACAGGTACAAACATACAACAGCAATATCCACCTGTAACTTGGTGAGTTGACCTGAGTACTGCTTGAGGTACTGGTGTAGGATGCAGGTGGGGATCTGACATTCAGAATCCTTGATGTGGATGATGGTGATCAATGCCCCCTGAAATAACAAAGAAAATTAATGCATAATCAGTGCAAGACACATTTTGGTTGTACCCTCATGTTTCAATAAAGTTCAAATGTATATTCATAGAGATAAGCAAGACATTCAATATCCTTTACCTTCCACTGTTCATAGTTCTCTTTCAACTGAGATTGTAACACTAATTGGGCAGTTAAAAATAATATTATGTTGGTTGTCAAATAATTAATAATTAAAAATATATATAAACCATATTGAAATTTCTTTTAAAACTCTGTATAAATTAAAAGAATGCTTCTGTAATTTATAACTATAAATTTTGTAATTCAATTAAATTATGTGGGACCATTCCTCAAGACGGTTAAGAATGAGAAAAAGAGTATGGGTTTAAAGTACAGTAACAGCTATATAGTACACATGTCTTGTAAACCTTAATGAATAAGAAATGAGTCATCTATTAGCCCTTACCACTCCATTTGCATCAGCCTGCTGAAGTGAGTCTTGGCGCATAATGCAAACAACCAGAGGGTAATTTTTCCTTGGGGACATTCCAAGAGTGAGTGGCGGAGCAATGGGACGGATGCCAACATGCTTCACGCACTCTGTTTCCTCATCGATGTCATTACTGAAATAAAATCACCTTGTATGTATTGTATACAAAAGAGTGGAAAAATATTTCCATTACTAGAAGTGTTATTGCCTATTTGAAATTACCCACGAGAAGATTATAAACAACCTAACCAAACCTATTGTAACCCAATCTAACCAAACTCAACCTACTCCAACCGAACCTACCCTTACTTAACTCAACATACCGTAAGCTAACCTACCCTAATCCAACCTAACTTAACCTAACCCAACCAAATATTGAAGTATAAGAGAAAGTAAGCAAGGCATTTTGCTATACTAAAGATTTTTTTTACATTTTTCTATAATATATGTTATATGTTACACTGAATACAGGGTATACAGAAGTACATACAGTAGCTACTTGTGAAAAAACACTTCAGAAAATATTTGAAGTAATATTAAAAAAAAAGTACAAAAAATTTCAGAATACTGCATCCATATTAAAAAAAATCATAATTTGTTAAAGAAACATGACTTGAAGATTGTGGACACAAATAAAAGTTAAGAACGCAGGGAGTTAAATTTTTTCAACAGACAGTAATTATGTTTGAATACATCTCATATGGACAGACGGGAGGTGATAGCTGAGGACACATTAGCGGATGTTGGCTTGTGTTCCCTTTGCTACCACTCTCCCGTAACAATATATATCGTTACTTTCATTTACTACTGTAATATTATTTTCTAGATATCTAATTGAAATTTAACTCAGGAATGGTTGGCACAAACAACAGCTAAAATTGAAGTGATTTATCCCCGGTACCATAAAGATACGAAAAAAGTATAACTCACAACTGAAGTCATTTTATCATAACGTGGGAAAAATGTATCTTGAAAATGAAGCTGTCTGCTGTTTAGCTAATAAGAACATATGAGGCCTATAGAATAACCAGGGCATATGTCTGAATATCTCATCTCAGCTCAATTTTCAAGCTGTACTACATGTCTTCTGCCTTATTTTTTTATGGGGAGTGCACCATGCTGGAGGTATATCCATGTTGTCTGACATCATTATCTGATACAGGAGCTCTCTGTTATAAGTGGCTAATAGGAACCATAAAAACCCACTGATAGTGAAACCACTTATAAAGGGAATTTAATTCTCCTAAGAATTAATAAGAATACAGTATGGTCTAATCAAGACCATCACATTGTAAGTGACACTCATAAAGTTTAATTTTATATCTTTTAGCAGTTATATATGTACCTTATTAACATTTGATTACCGGTACACATATTTTATGAAATTATTTAACTTTACAACTTATGTAAGGTACTTAAAGTCATTTGGGTCGGTGTGTTGATGCAATGCAAGCTATCTAACCACGCACTCACACATTCATTTTAGTGAGTGGTTCATTGAGATATGCTCACCACTTTTTACGACATGTAACTTCTAATTTCACGTCCATCCCATAGCTACTCTGCCTCCTTTTAGCCACTACACCACCTTACTTCGGTTTGGAACTGATGACTATAAAAATAGTCCACCAATGTCACCAAAGACACAACAAAGTTGATAATTATAGTTCTTGGAGCACTTTAAAATAATGCCAGTGGACACAGGCGACTGGATTTGAGCATGCATAGAACAGGTGAGAAGGATAAACTTTAAGAGAATGGGAGACAGGCGGGAATTTAAATCGCTCAAATGCTTGTGCTCCCAAATATTGACTTTTATTTACTTTATTTTTATCCTCTTCGCCACTGATTGACTCATGAGTCGCTTGGGCGGCCAGTCACGTCTCTGTTGCGCACTATTGGCAAGTACTGGGCATGAACTGGCTCTTGAATATTTTGGAACCTGCTCCAGTGTTGGTCAAGTCTGGCCTTGAAAAGGAGGGGGGTGGGAGGATGATGCCAATCACCGGACTCTCATACTTAATTTTTCTGATCAAGAAATTTACCCCTCACTAGGATGACTTCCTTTATATAATCACATTTACTAATTGGAATCTAAGTGACCTAAGATGTGCAAGTGATCATGTCCTTGTGACAGACTAATATTATTTTAAAAAATCACAGCTGTCCTGCCGGTCTTGACCTCGCTGGTACCTCATTCGTCCAGTGTTGCTATCAAAGACAGTTGCTTGTTTTCTAGGGGTGCTTTTTTTCTCTCCAGTTTTCCTCAATGAAATTTTGGTTCAGTATATCTATGTGCTATCACTATGTACACTGTATCTCGCGATGAATGGTGGATCGTATGCACAATCACAGTCCTTTAGAAAACACAGAAAAACTTACCTTGTGGTGGCAAAAATACTGTACCTTCGAGACAGTTCTGATTCGTTTTTCTTTAAACTATTATGTTCTCTTTTCCAGTTCTCATCAACGAATTTATTTCTATACTATCACTATGTACACTGTATCTTTCTATGAATGGTGAACATAATCACAATTACAGTCCTTGAGAAAACACACACACAAAAGAAAAACTTTGTGGCACCAATATGTCCTGGCTACCACCAGGCTCTGGTGCCTAATTGCTTGACCCAATTTAGTTTTTTCACTTCAATTTATTTTCATTCTCCACTGCAGTCACTGCTGTAACTATGGACTGTCTTAGCTAAAGGCACAATACTACACTCTTTGATCGGCCTTTGTATGGCCAATCACAGCTATGAACGCAACTCGCTTAAAATTTTCTAAATAAAACTTGTCATATGACAATGATTTTGTCATTGTATACCTCCTGGCCTATTCCTCTGGTTAGTAGAGTGTTTTTCATTATACAACCGCGAATAACGTTAAAAATCCTACATCGATTTACACATTCACATCACTAAGATGATCTTGATGCTCTTATGCAATCACTGTCCAATTGCCGCCGCTTAACAACAAAGACCCGAATGCCAACACACTTTGTTACAGAGACCCAACATGACACGACCTCATGACTTTTTACATGTAAGTACACAATTATTTGACCACTTAAGTGAGAAACCATTTATAATTAAGACACTTATAACGAGGATCCCCTGTAGAAGAATGCTGAGGCTATGGACTAACATAGTAAATGGGAAATTGAGCAATCCAATGATACACCCTTGTATTCTAAACACCTCATATAACATGAAGATGTTTGTTACACCAGAAAAGAACATCTAAGATTTCAAAAAAAATATTATTAAAGGGAAATATAAATCATAGTTTTAAGAACAGAACACCTCCAATATTGTAGTAGGTTATCTATACCTCACAACCTTATCTGTAATCTCTGCTTTAACTGATGGTTTTTCAATTAAGTGCATGAAGAAGCCCGACCAGGAGGACATCAGCAGAGCGTGAAGGTGGTCGGAGGGAACGCCCCAGAAACTGCGCATAATGTATGACACCTCACTGCGTATTTTCAACTGGATATCTGCAGCAAGAGATAATTTTTTAATTAATTATTGTATTTTTGTTTATGCTGTCAATAGAACTTTATCTAATTAATCAGTCCAAAAAAAATAATCTATACAGAGTAAAATTAGTATCTTTATCATAATCTTCAATCAAGTTTAGTTTCAAAACCACAGGAGAGACTGACCAGATACATCAACTACATTTGCCAATAAATTTTCTGAACAACAGCCAAAAGTATTGTACAGTTTAAGCACTATATTTGTTGTTAGTACGAAGAGCTTTTAAACATTAAAGGAAATACTGTACCATTTACCAAAGCCCATGAGTTCATCAAACTAGATACAAGGACTTATATTTTCCACTCGGTTTTTAAGTGTTTTTAAGTTATAGGTTCTTCTTGTGACTGGAAAAGTAGTCTGAGGAACAAAGGCAAGGAGCTGGAGTCAAGTACACGTAAGTATATGCATTAAGAGTAGATATTTTGTATCAAGAAAATATAAGAAATCATTTCCAAATTCCCACACACATTACTCTCTCTAAGTTTCTATCTATCTATCTATCTCTAACAATGGGACATACCAGCAAATGATGCATCACCAGGCTTGTGCAGTTCAAGAGAAAATGGAACAGCAACTTTCTGGAATTCTACCTGGGCCACTGGTGGCTGAGCAACATGCACCACAGAGGCCCCAAATAAATCTTCCCCTTGTAGCCTGTAATGGGTCACAAGATAAAATGGAAGCATGTGTGTAAAATATCTTAAACTATTGCTTAAAGAGAATACAGTATTACTGTAACTGTAATTTTACTTCTCCAGAGCACCAATTCTTTTTAAAAGAAGAAAAAATTCTTTGTATTAACATATGAAAATTTCTAAGAGATCAATGAAACAAAATATTTAAAACATTGCAAATAACATGCAGTATATAATGGCAAAAGCAAGTACAGTACACCACATACAGTACCACTTGAAACATCAATTACACATGAAGTAAAGATTAGCTGAACAAACTGAATATGAATTCTGGGGATAAAAAGGAGTGATTTTATTATTCAGTATGCAGGTGGTTGGTGGAAAATAAAAGATTTCTTGTACTGTATTCATACCGTATAATAAAGATGACCATGCAGATGAAGCATATTAATACTCCTAATGCAGAAAACAGATTGGAGATCTCTGCAGCAGTCATTAAGGCAGCTGTCAACACTGCAACCATATTCTAAACCAATCAACTCCTAACTCTCTGTTTGGCAGCTTCAAAATTCAGCATCTGAAGGAAAAAATAGCAGGGAATATAGTGGATTTTACCAACTTCAAAACCTCTTAATTCAGTGATAGAACTGGATGATGAGTGAAAGTGTATCCCAAAGGCATGAATGCCCATTTGGGACACTGTGGATACTGTATGGCTCACTGTATACAGTACTAAGCTTTCAATACATAAGTAATGGATGGCACTGCACTTAACCACCTTCACTTCCCCAACTTGTAAAGTTATGTATCCATTTACAGCTGGGTACTACCACACTCCACAGAAATGGGTACTGTATATCAAATGTGGAAAACTTGGTTAACAGTTGAGGAATGTATTTACTTGGCAAGTACAGTAATCAATTAAAACCATCAGATATGACATCTTACATTACAATACTGTAACATGAGTTTGCGAACTTAATTGTCAGACCTCGTATGTCATTGTTGTGCGTGATACTATTTAAAAGTAACAACATTAACGTTACTCGTTAGAAAATGTAACGCCATTATCACTGCTATCATATTTTCAACAAAGTAATGAGTTCCCGTTAGTTACTTTTTTATGTATACGACACTGGTCATATAACTATTAATATAATTGAGCTTTGGATATATTTCATAAGAGTACAGTACTAGCAAATAGAGAAGAAGAATTATTTTTATGCTATATATAATAGCATAATGGAATTAGGAAAGAAATCACAAACATCTGAAATTTTTTTTAATAAAATACATGACAATGATGTGCTGAAAGAGAGCACATCAGACTGCAAGCATAGCTTTGTACTCACATCCCTTCACATCCATCCATGCATGCGATTCAAATTGTACCCCTAAAAATAAAGCTAAATCTTACATATTTTAGTCCTACCAGCTCATTTATTGGTTGTTTTAGGCAATGACGTAATAAAAATCACGACTCCGAGTATGACATATGCAGGTGGACGTTTGAAATAAAGTCGCCAATATTGACGATCGTTCTTCAGCAGCATGAAAAGCTTCTTATTAAAACTCTATCACATCTCCCCACATCAACCAAAACTGTGCCACTGGTAATAAATATAAAAGCTAAAGATTCGGTACAATAATAATACCAACATGCGAGTACATTTAACATTAGTGTAAATAACTGCTAGTTTTAAAGGGGTTATATCTGCATAAGTAAGCATTTGCCATGAAAATAAAAGGTCATGTTTGTTCAAGTCACCATAAATAAACATAAGGAATACTTTTTTTTTTTTATTCTCATTATGTCATTTCCTGCCCTACCCTCTAGCTCTGTCCCGGCTACTGTGGCTCTCTCTCAACCAAGTTTGACTGTCTAATATTTCACAAAACTAAAAAATAGTGGTTCTTTTGGATGGTAACACAGATGTGGAAGCATTTTTACCTCAGTACTCCGCCCCACAGCACCACAGTACCACAGTAAACAAGTCCCGTGTGTTGACATTTACAGTAAGATACCAATGTTAGAAATATTCACGAACATCCTTACGAGCCTATCTTTTATACACGTGATCTAAACTTAAGTTATATTACCTAATTTGGTGATCCTACAACCAGTATTTATTGTAATTAGTAAAAAAATTTAGATGCTTATGTTTCATGAAAAATAAATTATTTCAGCCAAATCGTGTTCGAGAAAATCTATTAACATTGTCTATTTTGTAGTATAAAACTTGGCAAATATTTTACTAATAACATATATATTTGTTACATATATTTGTTACATTTGAAGATAACCAAAGAAACACCTATCATGTTTAAAAGTGAAAACAAAGATGTAGAGGTAGAGAACATATACAACAGCTCCTCACATTTCTAGTAGAGATTATTTCTGACACAGCCAAGTTAAGTGTTAAGTAATATCAAAGTTTTTGCCGATATTAATTGCACTGTAACTTTTATATAACTAAATTATATTCTGAAAACATTATACTGTGCATACATATATATATTAATAAACATTTACCGATGATAATACATTGAATATTAGTGTACTTAACTCCAAAAGGCTGTAGGTAACAAGATGAAAGGAAGTACATTAGGAGTAGATGCTAAAATTTTGTCAGAAACACGTTTTGATTTGGAGTATCCAGTAAAATCACCATACAAGTTTATAAAGTACTTGATAATTTGAATTTGGTACCACAATAGAATAATTTAAGGGATACGATCAACAACACAATTTTCTATTCCTATTCTCATATTTTTTTTAGATTTAAATGATTCAGATTATTTATGAATATTATAACTAGTTGATAATTAAATAAATCAATGAACATGTAATTAAATGATGGGTATATGAGTTAGGCTTTGAGCCCCTGATGTGAGTTGCAAGAATCGTCGACTTCTGTCCGCCTCACCAAATTCTATTACCTGTATTTCAATGAGGTAAACCTTATATAACTCCCTATCATTACCTAGTGCTGCATCGTGATATGTATTGCATGATTGTGTGTCGGTGTGTTAGTTAGGCGAGAGCACCAGGTTATGAGGAACAATGATATATACTCGACTTGGTTACACACTATAAACAGTATGTCTCACCTAAATAAACGACCAAATTACCTTGTTTAAATATTTCTCGTGGGATGATGTGCTTATTGGCCTTGAATTTTTTTTTTGGGGGGGGGGAGGGTGGCATAGGAATTAGGTTGAGAAGAGGTTAACGAGTCATAGTTATCAGTTACAGGGTCAGTTGGTTGTGGTAGATGTGGTAATACTTAACAAGATGGTCTGGTAGATCAGGTGGTTAGAGTAGTTTCTGGAATTGCACCAAAATTTATGGAAATACTAATTAAGAACATAGTAATGGAGGAAACTGCAGTGGGCCTATACTGGACAGTCCCGTATACACCCAACCCCTATCTCTCTATTTCCAAACTACTTTTTACCTATCTCGTGCCTTAATCTAAATTTGTCTAATTTAAAACCATTGTTACGAGTTCGCTCCTGGTTGGATAGTTTGAGTACTTTTATTATATCACCTTTGGTTAGCTCTGACTTCCATTTATACACCTCTATCATATTGCCCCTCAATCTATGTCTCTCGAAGGAGTGCAGATGAAGATGCTTTAATCTGTCTCTGTACTCAAGGTTCCTAATGCCCGGTATTAGTCATTATTCTCCCTCAAATTTTTTCTCGCGATTCTATATCCATTCTGTAGTACGGTGACCAGAACTGAGCTGCGTAATCCAAGTTAGGTTTCACAAGAGCAAGATATAGTGTCAGGATAACTTCGCTAGTCCTGTAAATAACACTCCTGTGTATGAACCCAAGTACTGTACTTTGTTAGTCTTGTTTCGAGCAAATAAACACTGTTTACTTGGTTTAAGATTCCTATTTATCATTACTCCTAAATCTTTCTCACAGTCTGATTTCTCTAGAACAACGTTGTTCATCTGGTATCCGGTTTCTCAGTTTACATCTCCTTGACTAATTACTGTACATGATACTAAGCACTAAAATGGAAATGACAATGCACAGAACCTGACCTAACCTTAAAATGGACCCCTTGGCATTTTAAGCAGAAAGAACTTAATTTGGATTGGAGCAGATGGCTAACATCAGAAGGAGTACAGTACTGTAGTTCGATTTCGTTCATTTTTACACATGATTTTTGGATGATAGTAAGTAATAAAAACGATACAACAACTTTCTATTTTAATTATAAGTATTTTTTCTTTACAATCATAAATCACCTGTAGTAGGCAGGGTATGAAGAATGAGGGATACTGCGAGGCAAAACAGTGAAACTGATAATGACACAAAAATTATGTCTACATGGTTTGTACACAAAGAAATTAATTTTTACCATATTCTGCCGAAAAATCTAGTGTCGGAGCGTGTCGTCATCGGCTTTGTTTGTTTACAACAGAGCCGCTCGGTCTAAGGTTACTAAAAACAAAATTACACCATGGTGCTCTAACAAAGTTGCTTTCATTGGTACCAGATATTATGATACATACTTTCTGTTTAATATGACAGGGGGGGTCTCGGGGGCTAACTAGATAGTTAAGTAAGGCTGGTTGGTTAGGTCAGGTTCTATTCTGTGCATTGTCTTATCATTTTTATGACTTACTATCATCCAAAGAACATCTGTGAAAAAATGAACGAAATCAAACACTGCATTCTGGTTTTAGCCATCTGCTACAGAATTACCTTTACGTTTATATCTCAGGAGCTGCCTCTGTCTATGTGTACTTCCTTGCCGCACACACGTGTTGCTAGGTTAATTATGTTTACATGCTAAAGTAAACTTTTAGAGTAAATTTGATTTTGCTTGGGTATTCTAATACTGTACAGTATTGCTGCTAAAAACCTGGCAGTGATTAGTGAGAACACATAATTTTGTGGGTTACAGGGTAAGACATTCTGATACCAGCAGCTAGGTCAGCTGAGTGGCCCAACCAGCTACTCCACTTACCACATATGTGTGGGTCAGCCATAAATACTTGACAGCTCTCTATTCTTGCAGCCTCCCTCTGTGGTCATTTATTAACCCTTAGACCCCGGGTGACGTTACAGAACGTCCGCCTATTTTCCCGCCATTTTTTTATTTATTTATTTATTTTTCTTAATTATTTTTGTTAGTCGAATTTTTTCTCGGTTTAGCTCCGCCAGCAGCACCCTGATCCAGAGCTTAAGGGTTAAAAGATGTCTCCAGGTCATCCTTGGCTTACTCCTAGCTCTCCTCTCCTTCCCATTCAAAATTATTGCAGATGTTGTTGTTTCATTGCAGCTTTGTTAGGAATTGTTGGGGTTTGGTTGGCTAGTGACCTAACACATGATATAGCATAGCAGTGAAAATGTATTACAGTACAGTATATGTTGAACCTATACTTATACATAAAGCTTTTCAGTTTTAAATTACTGTGCAGGGTATTGACATGGAGTTTATTTGAGTACATACTGTATTTATTCTTTCATCCAAGGTACCCAGAAACAGAGAGATCCAAACTTCATACTTTCCATACATATTCACCATAAATATCCAAGAGTCGTTGTGTTTCTAGTGTTCAAAAGACCACGGTTTTAGTCTTGAAAATGGCACCATGTAGCATGAATTGACACCGGTCAAATCCAGTCTTCCTCTTTTTCTTTAGAATATTTTTTCTTCTTTTCTTCAAGTGTTGTCAATATATTTAATCTTGAGAAGAATAATGTTTTTTGTTATTTTTCAGTTGTATGTGGACACAGCCATGCCCAAGTGTGCTCTCTGCCAGGAAACATTCCCATCAAAAGTAAAACTTGTGCAACACTTTGGCGAGGCTCATAGTATTGCCAGGCAAAGAGCCCGGCGCTCCAAGGTAGCTGAAGCTATTAGACGCATCACTGTAGAGGCTGATAATGAGGAAGTTATAGTTCTAGATGAACACGAGGATGCTAATTTCATCACCAACACGAGACAGCCATTACATTGCTCAGAATGTGATGATCAGTTTGCCACTCATGCTAGTTTTCAGAGTCATCAGTGTAATCTTGGGAATGATGCCAAGTCTAAGAAGCAGCCCGTTTCATGCCACTTCTGTGGACAGAAATGCAAAGATCGTCGTGGGGCTGCAATTCACCAAGCATTTTGTGAAAAGAAAATTAAAGAGAGTTCAGATTTAAGCCAACAAGAAGTATCAAATAATAATTTTGCTTCATTAGAGACGAATGTGATAGGTTTACCAACGTTGTATGAATGTCCAGCTGATGATTGTGGAGCCATATTCAAAAATGAGGACCAACTGGTAAGACATGTAGAAAGGCATCATATTGGGGAGGGCATCACTATTATCAGAAGTAATACACCCCCAAGAAGCCCTCCTTATAGTCCCCAGCCAGAACCACATGTTCCAGTACCTCGGCAATCAACACAACCCCCTCTTGTGACAGTTACTATGAAGCCCCATATTGGCAAAACTGAAGGGTTACAGGACCTGTCTCTCCTCATAACTCCAACAAAAACTGTTGACAGAGCCCCAGAATTTCTTGACTGTGATACTGATGATTCCTCAGCATCAAAACAAGATATGGAAGAAAGCTCCACCAGCATCACTATGGAAGAATACCGAGCCTTAGATGGAGGGGTTGGAGGAAATGGTGAAGCGGTGCTGTATGTTGCAGAAGATGGATCTGTACTTCAGGCATCGCAAACAAGCTGCCAGCTAGATGGCAATGGTCTTAATAACATTGGAAGGGAGGAAGAGACCTTTCTGATAATTACAGGTGATGATCACAAAATAAAGCCAGAGAAGTTTACATGTAGCACTTGTGAACTGCATTTTTTTGATAAAAATTTGCTTTCAGAACACATTCTCAAACACCACAACACAAGTAGAGACTTCTCCAACATTCAGATTAAAAGTGAGCCAATGGATATTGAAGAGGAGCAGCTAGAAGACAGAAATGAGGATGATGAAGACTGGGAATTATATTTGTATGATAGAAGAAAAAAATACAGTGCAGATGTTAAGGTTGAAAAGGGAAAGCTTGAATACAAATGTAGTCTTTGTAAGCGACACTTTCTCTCTGAATTAAGTTATCAGACCCATGTAAGAAACAAAGAATGCAAAACCAAAAAATTCAAGTTACCCAGAATGTTTTCTTGTCATTTCCCACAGTGTGATTCATCATTCTTTAAGCTTACTGAGCTACAGAGACATTGGCAGATTGCTCACAAATTTTCAATGGCTACTAAAAATGTAGAATTTGAGGATGAAAGAACATTTACAGATTGGTTAGCTGAAGAAGAAGAGAAACACAAAGTGCGTTTCACCTGTGATGTTAAGCGCAGGAAGCCTCACCGAACTGAGCGATTACTAGTGTGCCACAGGTTCCACCATCTCCGTACAGCAGCTGCAAGGAAGAGTGCAAAGCGTGAGTATTCAGATAGACACAACTGGATCCACAAAATTCAAGCTTGTTTGTGTTTTGCTAGAATGAAAGTATACCAAGACTTTAATGAAGAAACATGTGATTACACAGGCAAGATAAGTGTTGTATATTATTTTGAACATAGTCACCCTGACAATGAGTCACGGGAAGGTAAGGAAGAGATCTTGGATCATATTTTACAGCGAAATAAGCGCAATAGAAATACTCAGTTCCAAGACTTAAAAGGCAACGAAAAACTGCTTCATCGTCAGAAGTTAGAAAAGTTTGCCAGGATAGCAGGAAGAGAGTATCGTTCCTCAATCAAAAGTACAAAAATGTCCGATTCCGTTCGTAAATTTAAAAAAGAATCGGAGGATCATCCCGTCATTAATGAAGTGGATGAAGACCAGATAGCTGCAGTTCAGGTCGCTAACAACCTCTTAGGAAGTGATGAACTATTTGCATCACAAGTAGAAATGGTTTTAGATGGACAGTTTGATATGGGTCACGAAGTGCTTGCGGGATCAGTGGTGACGCACCTTGATAATCTTCCCATTTTTGGCGGTGACAGAGTGGAGCAAAGTAGCTACAGGGACGACGAGGAAGGTCAGGAGAAGAACGATACTAAAGAACTAGAAGAGGAAGAATCCACAATGCAGGCAGTATTACCTGCCAGCACTGCAGACTGGGAGAAACTGTTTGCATTGGTACGATCTAGAGTTTCAAGTGAGGATAACAATGCCATTAAGGCTGAGGCAGCTTTAGTTCTTCCCTATGAAAAAGTGATAGAACTTGTATCGCCCAGTGAACAGATACCTATATTCAGACAGTTATGGGAACTGGCTTACCCAACTAGTCAATCTCAGGACTGTGTTCAGCTGGAAATTAGAATGGTGAGATAATTTTTAGATTTATGTTATCATATGGATAATAACTTTCATTGACACTGTGACTAGTGAGAAGCATTGTATGGACTTTGGACTTGTATGTGATTTAATGAGTTTAATTAAATTTTGAAAATCATGGCAAAGTTATTATAAGTTTGCATATTTATTTCTATGCTGATCACTTGTTTTAGACCTGTAAATTCCTGTATATTAATAAATCTTTTGTTAAAATTTTTTGCTTCTGGATACTACCCACGAACACAAAAACAACAAAATAGAAATATTATTGTAATGTGAAGTTAATGATGGATGGAAAACACCAGAGAAATGATATTAAAACAAAATTACTATAAATTGGGATAAGATATATTAAGAATTAAGATACATGTAAATAACACTTAAAACATAAATCAAAGTGATCAAGACAGTCCACTAATCTTCTCAATAAAGTGTAAACCCATACCATATCTCTTTATTTTAATGGTTCTTATCAGTCATCTCTTATGTCTATATACTCTGTGAGTCATTATTTGTTGTTCTGTATGAATGATTGTGTACATGCAACAGAGTAAAAAGAGAAGAAGAAAATGACAATTACCTGCACAAATACTGTCTCTACCCAGAGTTACCAGGTTAACAATAACATAGCTGACAGCTCAGCCTCAACCACTCGAGTCCTACTGGGTGGCGAGTTGGCAACTCTGTTACACAATTACGTGTCATCTCCATGGATATTATTCCTCGTTAGCCCTTGTTTTGCGATAATTTCGCTTAACGATGGTTTTATTCAGGAGCACATCACCATTGTTAAACAAGAGATACCTGCACACTACAGTAACTACACCTCAATCTTTACTCAATAAAGTGTTAGCCACTCTCCACGAAGGTGTTGGCTCCTGTGCAGTGTTGTGTTGTGAATGTCCTTCCAGCCTTACACAACTCCAGCCATTCTGCTTCAGTCACCCACACCCTCATAACACCATTTTTGGTTCAGACTCTTTATTCAGAGACAAAAGATCGAATACAGTATAGATAAGGTAATTTCCATGAAGGAATAGTATCATTAAGTTGTTGTCTTAACCTAGAAATACAGTGAGTTGCTGTATATCTAAAATTACTTACCTCAATCAAATGCGACTTTTACTCTCGTCCGCCTCATAGATTAAATATCTCTCTCTTTCTCTCCCGTTGCGTTCAAATCTTTTGTTTTGGTTTTAAACTGAGTAAAGACTCATTGTTGTGCACAGATAAAATTACATATCAATAATTTCCTGTGGGCTAAATTATTTTTTAGTGCACTTCAGGTTTACAAAATGGAATTGACAAAACACATACTTGAAATTACAATGATTTTTATATTAAAGATTTTGAATGAACAATTATAAAATAGAAAACATTTATGTCTTCATTAACACTGGATTACTGTACTGGTCATCAGCCACCCATATACCACTGGGCTACCCATGACAGTGAGGGTATAAGTACAGTATGTGTTCAGCTACCAGTAGAAAATTTTTATACTGCTGGCCATAGAACACATTCTAATGGAAGTAGGACTAAATTTTTTTCAACCAACAAAAATCTTTAAATAATTTATCTAAATATTGTTTCCCAGAGATATACTGTATACAATACAGTGAAAACTCAATATTTCTACAAACAATAATGATTTGGAAACAAAAGAGTTTTCACGTGGATAAATGGTCATACAACTGATACAGTACTAGTAGTAATAGTGGGCTAGATGTTTAATTATTGGCAATTGGAAATTGAGAACAAAAATTTAAGACAAAATCAGATACAAGATAATGATAAAAATAGCTGTGTGTTAACAGGTACAGCGAATGCCAAAAAGTGTATATATCAATGAAATTCATACTCTAATTTTTATGGAATCTTCTTAGAGCAGTGGTTCTCAACCTTGTTTGCCCCATGCACCCCTTTCACCATATGTCAGAATGTCATTCCCCCCTCCTTTCCAAGATTGTCTGCCTCAAAAAGTGCATTCCAAATAATATGCATATAATACTGAAAATCCTTTATTTTTTCCATATTAGTATCAGTTTCCCCCCCCCTGAAAACCTGAGGGGGGAAATTCCCCCCTGGTTGAGAACCCCTGTCTTAGAGCATTAATTTTCCTGTATGAAAACAGTGGAGTAATTCTTTACATGAAACACATAAGAGTGTTAATATACAATTTTAGTCTACTTATACACTCTGTTCTACATTTAAAACAACTACCACAGAAACATTTTAACATTATGTTTTCTCAAGGATGGAAGCCCTCATAACATAACTTTACCATGAATGAAGACACAATGCAATCCACTACAGCCTTTCATTAGTACTGGTAACTGAACAACTTAGATGAGATACTTATGTAATTAAAGTGATAGTTTTGATGATAATGAGTAGAGATAATGGTGATGAACGACTGACGACAATATTTGGTAGTGACAATGACTGATTATGATGTGTACATCATTTATGGGCTTATACACTACTGTACTAACAAAACCCATGACACCCAAGTTTAGCCCTTTGCCTCTAACATCAAATTATCAGCATATTGTTCAAATTTTAAAATTAAACTGTCATGGCTTTCACTTTCAATACAACTGGTTAAGAAGCTGTCATCCAACCTGTTAGCTCAAACAGTTGATCCTGTGTTTCATTTGCTACCACCTAACTAGTTATCTAAAGTACACTAACAAATGATTTAAAATTATGTAGCTGGAATTGGTTGCATCATACGGAAATACTTTACCTAACCACATCTATGTAGCAATTACTAACTACAAAACATCTGAAAATAATAGTAAAATACTGATACATTAAATTGTAATTAAGATGAGTAATTTCTTCACTACATTTTGTAACATTTTATTAAACCTTGTGTGGATCCAATAGTGATAACAATTAATTTCATTAGATGTGTTCTTTTTCATGGACAATCAAATAATCTGTAGGATGATTGGTCAAATAATTTGAACCCTAAAAGTCTGGTTAGGTTAGAGCCTCATTTGACTGACAATCTCCCTGGTAAGTGTAGCATATATACATCACTTCTCCTCAAGGCTAACAATCAAATTCTACTTTAGTGACGTGTCTTTTAAAAGTCCTCACAAAAATGTTTTACTATTATTGTCAAGTGTGTTAGTATTTACACCTTAGTTTGGTTGCACTAGATGAGAGTAAAAATGAGTGTACTGTATCATGCTACATCTCATCCATGAAGAGCTGACAGGATATTGTAAATATATTGATAACTGTACTTGTACAATGTTATCTATAATACCTCACTCTTCCAGTTTTTTAGGAAAATGGCCAATAAAATCATTACTAATGGCTAGAAAGCTATTAAAACCTCTTTTAAAATACAACAAATACAACAAAATTATGCTTCAGATTTAAACATGATTTCTGTAAAAGGGTAATGTTATATCCTCCAGTGAGTGAAGGTAAACATCACCCGAGTCTTGGGTAATGGACTCAGACAATGTCGTCTTAAATCAACCTTCATAACACTGGGACTTGGTGTACAATGACACCGCCATATATGCTGTAGTTATTTATAGAGTAGGAAAAAATTACAAATAATTAACTAAAATTATTCCATTATATGGAGATTATAAAAGTCCTTGAAATACATTTGATAAATATTAAGAGACCCTGAAAGGATATGAGCAAGAGGGGGAGGGAAAGCCCTCTCAGATCTTGTATTTTATTAGTTTCATCTTCTGTAAAGTGAAAATAAAATAATTTGGTTTATAAGTTTATAATTTGGTTTACACTTTAAATTTTTATGTATGTGTGTATTATTAATTTAGTCAGATGAGTGAGCAGTATCTTACACATATACTGAAAGAATATCAATATAAATCTGCAAGTCAGGGAAAATTTACCTTTGAGTCATAAGCTGGAGTACACTACACTTACCAGTGATCTAATCTTAACTTATTAATGTTATAATTTATATTTTACCTAAAACTACAAATCGTTTGCGACTACAAAATTTAAAGTACGGTATTTGCGCATTAATAGCCAGATGCCATCTTCTTCTTTGCTGCGGCGATGATACGGGAGTGGTTAAGCGCGGTGGTGTTACGCATCTTGAAACAATTTATGCAGAAGCGCTCATTCTCATACATTGTAGAGCAAACTGGAAATGAAAAGCATTATCAGTAATTTTCTCTTGCATAAGACTACTATATTTCAAAACAGAAAATCTTATAAATTTAATATATACAGTATACCTAGAGCTGTAAACATAAATTTTCTATTTCCATCTACCTCTAGTCTTAAGCATTAAATATATTTTACCAGTTACACTTGAAAACCCATAAGAATAAGTTTAGCCATAGAAGTTCTGCAAGTTATTATTTATTAACCCCTTCAGTCCTAAGTTCAGTCTATTTTTGTATCCCCCTCACCTAATGTTACAAGTCATACTGTAAAACATAAAATATAAATCTAAATTAGCATGTTAATTTCTTTAGTTTGTTCACATCTCCCAAAGCTGACTGGTTGTTTGTACTCAGACTAAACCTCACCATCATTTCTCTCCATCAAAATTGCATTAATTTCTTCCCATGTTACCATGTATTTATGTTTGTTTCCAACAACAATCCACATGGATGTCACTGATGGCGGCAAGGAACACATTCCAATAAACATCCTTCCACCTTGGTGTTCGTAGGGTAAGTGAACAGCTGTATAATGTATGAGGGTGAATTATTACTATTGGTGACATCATATATGACTCAAGACTGGTCCAGAATATTTGAAAAAGGGTGGGACACATCAGCCTGTTTCTTATGTGTGTGTGTACGAGCCATGTGGGTAGGACTGAAAGGGTTAATTCCAGAAAAATTAACTGACCATTTTCCAGATGTGGCTCTTAAAAATTAGAAACTTTGCCACAAATCAAACACACGGTTCAAGCCACTAATCCCCTTCCTGTGCACACTGGACACCAATGGTCTTCATCCCTAAAATTTTTAAATTCACTACCCATTTATTTATTTTCAATTCCAATGTTAAAATTTCTACAGCCATCTGCCCTGTAACAAAAAACTAAAAAGATAAAAGCTCAAAATCCAAAAACTGAGTCAAGTCTACATTCCAATCATTTACTTAAGGTACCAAAGGCTGACCCCCTCAATTTCAGGGAAACAATTTTTGAAATAGTTCTTCATTCTTACTCTGGTACCACTGCTACTACTGTTCAATATTTAGCTACTTGCTATTGTTCTATTTGAGACTCTCAATGAATGTAACATTGGTGTAAGAGAGTGACACCTGAACGAACAACAACTACCTTCCCGATGAATGTACTTGGGACAGTTGGAACATCGTACCATCCCATCTTCTGGAATACTTTTGTAGACCTTTAAACACACATAGCAAAACTGTCTCCTCTTCCAATACTTGTCACACTGAACGCACAGTGTGGTTGCATATCTAAGCTGCTTGTTGTCCTTATCTTTTTTGAACTGAAAAACAAATGATACTATTAAAATAATGTCATATGAATCATCAGTAACTACTGACTTTACAGTAATGAACCAATTAATGAAACACTGAAAGGTTTCATATGCTAAAACAGGATAATACAGTTTCTTGTAATAATGAAGGAAACATGAAAAAATTACTACTAAGAGTGTACAGTACTAGTATACTGTGAACAGCGACAGATGACCATAAGGAAGGAGAGAAAGAACACAAAAGAATATAACTCATGAGTGATTGTCTCTGTATCAGAATGTGTTGGAGGGATGTCTATGTGGGAGACTGTTAAAAGGACATCAATGGGAAAGAATATGTAATAGGGATGAATAATTAGCAGAATGTACTGGGGGGAGCCTAAACAGCACATTTCTATGACAGAATGTGCAGTTCTATAGAGGACACAGCCAGTGCTGTCCCATTTCTTATTAAATAGAAACAAGCTTAGATACAAATCTATTACAACATATAAAGAATGACATTACTTTTTAATAAAAAAAGATAACACATGTATGGTGTATTATAATAATCCAAGCAAAAGCCTCTCATAATTAGAATCAGTTGGTCATTTGGCAATATTTTTCAAGTAACATCATTGGCAATTTTTAAATACGTACAACAATACACCTATGAGACCTTGGACCTATCTCATATAGTATGGATATCACTTTATAAGTCTATAAGTTTTAACACTAAAAAATATATTTGAAGTCTAGTTTGGTACAGGTTCTCCTCTTTTTATGAACAAGTTATGCTTATTCTCAAGTCCATTTATTCGTAATTCCAACTTTACTCTTGTAGATACCGAACATATTGTAAAAAATATAAAATAAAGTATGTACACCACAGCTATACCCTACAGAACAGACTTAAAACCTGGTACACTCTTCTCCTCTTTCACAATGTATTGCATGTCCTATCAGGCATTTTCTTCCGATATAATCCAGTCTCATCCACTTTAAACACCTGCTCTGGCAGGTAACCCCTCCCAACCATGACGTTTGTATCTCTGAAAGTTAATTAGTTGAATGTTCATAAGTAGAGGAGCACCTGTAGTTTGAAAGCAATTTTTTTTTATTATTAAGTATATATAATTCTCTAATGTAGTCATACCTCGTGCTGCCATTCAGCATTTTTCACATTTTCACTACCAGCTGGATTTTTGGACCCGCACGAGGCACAGATGGCACACTCCTTACAGTGCCAGCGGCCATTGGGCACACGTCGCAGCCCAACGCAGTAGATGTGGTATCTGTAATAGTACAAAAGCATTATCATTGTATAATAATAATAATAATACTGTATTTCTGTTAAAGTTTACAAAATCAAACTGAGACACAATTACAGAAGCAAACTAATCAATAAACTTAATGAAAATACATAAATCATGACTAAATTTTGCTTCATAGTATTATATACAGGTATAGTATAGAAGCCACACAGATTAACTTGGACCAAGACAAACTCACCCTCGATCACACATATCACAGAAAATCATCTTGTCTTCATCATCTGGGTCGTTACATGTGACACAGGACTTACAGTCCATACACTGCCAATTGTAAGACTCTATCTTTGGCACCATTACCAGGGTAAGGTCAATGCATGTTGGGTGACCTGCAAATTATGAACCATTTGTAAAATTCAGCATCACTTTGAATCCTAAAAAAAAAAAAATTATAACAATTGAGTGACTTAAACCATATGACTTCATGCATTTAAAGTCACTATAAAGAAGCTTTGTGAGAAAAGGAATTGTAGATTTTACTTACTAGTTTAGTTTATTTTCTTTCTTACAAGCCTTCCCAATATGATACAAGATAAATGGAAAGAAGAACAAATACACAGTACCTTCTTTTGCTGGAAATGATTCTCTTAACCCTTTCGTGCATAAGATCAACTTCATGGTGAAGCAAATCAAGTCACCACTTTTAAAAATTCACCAAAAATTTGATGTTCAACAGAATTGCATCTAATTTTTATACATCATAGTAGCAAGTAATTTCTATCAATAAACTAATTGGCAACTCTCGAGGCCCATAGGAAGGGAAGACCGGAATGATAAATGCGCAGTATTATCTCAGCAGTCAGACCGTGAGTGTGAGCTGCGTCCATTTAAATTTCCATAACTCCGTGCAGGCTGCCTCAACTCCTGGATTACAGTGCTTACCTTACCCTACTCCCCGAAATAATTTCTTTTTAGTGTTAGAGAAGTGAAGCGATGGTTGTGTAATGTAATATTTTTTTCATATTTACAGGGAAGTGTTTAGTTTTCAAAGGCCATTATTTGTATCAGGCTATACAACCACGTTATGGTGACAATGTCTCAAAAAGAGTCTCTGAAAGAGTAGGATTTTCTCTGTTTAGGGACAGTGAGCATCAAGTAGATAGTGATAATAAAGAGCCTGGTAGAGAAAATGATCGTGATGATAACAAAGAAAGTCAGGAATATGAGGTAGTAATTGTGTCAGTTGCATCTACCTTCTGGCGCCTCACCACCAGACTCCCCCTACCACCACACGTACCACCTACACTACATTCACTCTCACTCTCACATTTTACTCGGGTTCATTCACTCACTTCCTCCCCCAAAGTTCATCTACAACTTCCAAAAGTCTTCCACCTCGCTGAAGGATGTGAGCACAGAATGATCTGTTTTATATCACTAGAGAATGAATTTATTTTATAATATATTTTCTGTATTTTATAATGCATTTTATTATTAGATATTGTGTTACTTTCCTTTACTATATGACGATCATGTGATGTGGATGAATACCCATCCACCTACAGTATATATTACAGTACATATGATTTTATTTTATATTATATTATAATACAATTTATGCTATTATGGTATGTTTTGTTATAATTTGTTATTCTCGTATATTACATTATATACCCGTACCATAAGTCATGCGATGCGGTCGAACACCCGCCCGTGTGTATAAAAAAATTCGCCCCAAAAAACTCAGGATTTACATGAATTCTATCAGTACCTTTCTCTTTGTTATGGTGTTAGCTACAAGATGTAATATAAATTATATTGATATAAAACATAGGCACAAAACTAATTGAAAAAAAAAAATTGAAAATCAGTTTTTTGCTATTTTCTCAAAAACTATTGGTCATATCAGAAATCTGATTACTGCGTTGGAAAGCTCATAAAATTCCACTTCTAGCAGTGTACAGTACTGTACTTAAAAAGTTGGCTGAGACAATTTTGAGCAAGGAGGTTATGAACGTATTGGTGTGTATTTTTTTCTCTCATGTTTATTAGAAGTGACGAAAAATAGCTATACCGGTATACATATACAGTACCTGTATTATTTTTATTTATGTTGCAGAGCAATCAGTTATGAAGCCAAAGACACATGGTTTACGCCAATAAAAACAAGTTTCTTGGGGGAAAATATATACAGCCACTCCTCGACTTACGACCACCAGGAACATACGACCGCCCCAGTCGTACCAAAATTTCTTCAAATTACGTCTTTTCAAGTCCCGACGTTGGTGATTGCACTGTGTACTGACAAAATTTTCATTTATAATTCCCCTTAAAATGACTGGCAAGCTTAAAAGTGAGAGTTTTGTGGTGCTGAGAAGAAAAAGAGATACCCATTTTAGAGTTTCTGTGCATTATTTTCGCATTTTCGACTTACGATCTGGATTTGGGTCCCTAACCCTGTCGTAAGTCGGGGGCTGCCTCTATAAATATTCACCACGTGCTGTCTCGTCTGCCCTGGGGGACTCAGATCTGTGATCTTGGAAGTGGAAAACTTAAAACTTATCTCGTGCACGAGAGGGTTAAGCATTGTAATAAATGTGTTCTGTTATGGTGTTGATGTTTTTTTTAACAAGAAGGTCCAATATAAAATTCAGTATTAAAACAGATTTTAGTTTCTTACTTGCTGATCGGCAGTTTCCACAAATGATGAGAGGCTCAGGTTTGCCCCCTTTGTTGCGATGCTTGGTTCCACTGCACACCTTGCAGCGAGGCACTCCCTCTGCTGGCTTCTCATCTTTGGTCTCACTAGGGGTGTCTGTCACTGATCTGTTTGTACACAAATAATAATTCACATTCTTGACTTTCCTGATTGTGTTATTATACTTATGATTAAATAACTTATAGAGCAATAATACTTCTTTCTTTAGTTAATCAATATGATTCTAGTGTATAGTGAAGGTTAGGTCATCACTTGGAGCTGGAAAATTTTGTTGTAAGAATGCAGGTTTTGTTATAATTACTGTATAATGTACTCAAATTCTTAGAAAAACCCACAAAGACCCTGCACCCCATAAGACCACCTAGACATGTGTAATACTGTGATCAATAACTTGTATCTCATCCTTGTATGAGTTGTGCCTATATCCATGTACAGGTGTTATTAACCTGTTCATACAGTATATATATAGTGTATATATGTGTGTGTGTGTATACATCACTAACTGTACATACCTTTTTTCTGTTTTTGTATGTGCATGTATAAGTTCATTATTCCTTATTACTGAAAAAAAAACCATTCATCAACAGAATTTTGCAGTCAGTTAACCAGGCGGTCCAAGAGTTCTCTAATTATTTTTGGTGAGAAATGGAGAAAGAGCCTGTTGGGTCTAAATATTGTAAATGAGGGTTAATCTAATACTATAAAATTTCTAGCAATTTTCTGTATGAAATTAAGGAGTTCAAACTGACCTTGGTACCTCTTCTTCTGAGTCTGAGCTGGCACCATCTGAGCCTAGCTGGTCCTGGGTGATGGGGGCTGCAACTACTGTATTTAAAGGCATAGTTTTCAGTGCCTGAGGTGAGTATCTGTGTAGAAAGAACAACATCAACAAAACATACTTTTAAAATCTTAACATTTGTGTATGATGGAATTAGATATACAACAAACTAGCACAGGGTGGATAGCAGATACCGGTAACAGAAATTAAATTCCAGGTGTTTTCCAGGCTGCTATCCACCCTGTAGCAGTTAGTCCTAACATGAATCATCTACAATGCTACTACAGTCACTGAGGGATATAAATTATATACTGTACTGTAAAGACAAATTCCCCAGTTTTGTAATCATACTCTTTAATCTATTTGAATACTTCATTATTCAAATGTTAACAATTATGGCTAAATGACTTGGTAATCAACTATAATTATCAAATCCTATACCCAAATCCTCAAACTCTCTTATTTTTTATCAAACAACTAACAATACTCATCAATATTCTATACCCTCACCTATTCTAGCATTTAACTTACTTTAAGACAAGGCATCCACACAATACACTCACTGTCTGAAGAAATCGGTGAACTGCCCAGGAAGAACTGCCACAGGATAGCATCCTATTTTGGTGGCTTCAGAAGGAAGCTTCTTACCACGACCTATGGGTAGCTGCAGGGTAAATGTTTGTAGGTCAAAGCTGTATCTGAAGGTGAAAAAGAAATATTATTAGTAAGAATCTAAATATGTTGTCATACTTTTCTACACATTCACATCAGGTGGCATTTCGAAACCTACCTTTACACATCACATGGGTGAACCAACTAGTATCACACAACATGTTTCAAGATATGACAACTTTAGTGTGAAGCAAATGTGAAATCACATTACTGTACAATAAACCCTTTGGAGCTTCACCAGCTTGGTGGTAAAAAAAATGCAGACTCTCATTCCTTTCTTCAAAACTTATGTGTCCCTTATGCTACAATCATAGTACTATAGTAAGTCACTCTCTATTACATACTGTAAGCTCTCATGTTGTACACATACTGACTTACTCAATCATTCTTTTTACATAATCTAGCTACATACAAAATAAGATTACAGTATTATCTCTTTTTTTTTCACTTCAGCCAGATATGTTCTGCTATGGTGCTGCTCATCTTCCTAACACATACTAAAATAGTATCCTTAAACACTATACAGTACATCTTATGCCCAAAAATGTCATCATAAATGTACCTCCGTTCTTCTCTCTTTTCCTTGTTGAAGTTGGCATTCCAACGTGCAGCATCAACAGCCGCCTTCCTCCCATACTCCTGCATCTTGGACTTGTCAATATTAGCCAGCGAGTAATTTACTGCAACATAAAAGTAAAAATATTGTATAAAATATAAAGAAAGTACTGTACTGTAGTTCACTTCGACATAAATTAAAATGGTCCTGAGAAAGAGAGATAGAGCAACACATGCACACACACACATATATATATATATATATATATATATATATATATATATATATATATATATATATATATATATATATATATATATATATATATATATATATATATATATATATACAGTGGCCCTCGGTTAACGAACTCAATCCGTTCCAGAAGGTCGTTCGTTAACCAAACGTTCGTTAACCGAAACCATTGTTTCAATGGGTTTTTGGGTAATTGGTTCCAGCTCACCGAAAATTTCCTAAATTCAACAAAAATGGTAGAAAAGTTCACTTACTTTGAGGTGTGTATGTAGAAGGCTCCTGGATGATGATGATGGGATTTAGAATGGGGGTGGAGGAGAAGGAAGAAGAGAAGGCATTGGGGTGGAAGAGAAGTCACCCCATGGTGCCATTTCACCCATAAAATTTTAGCTCTCTGGTTTAATTCAAGATTATTTTCTTTAAATCAACGCTGCACTGCATTATATATTGTCAATATATAAAATATATTTCAAAATGACCAATAATTTGCTTGGAAACACAGAAAAAAAGCGTTTAGTTGAAGAGAGTCTCAAGCAAGATGTTACCTCCAGTGAAAACAGAGAGAGACTGACGCCTGTTTGCTGTGTTAAGAGGCTGGATGCCGCGCATTAAACTAGTCACTTTACCTTCAATTTTGTTCAATAATTGTTAAAATGACTAAAAAATTGAATATTAAACTTTAAAATTATTGAATAGTATAAACTTCTTGATATTTACAAAAATAGTAAGGAATTTAAGCCCTAGAACCGATTAATGTATTGGCGGACTGATACTAAAGCTGGTTGCCCGGTCAGTGCAAGCGAAAACATGTTGAGGTCGGTTCGTAAGAAGTTCGTTAAGCGAATTTTTTTTCGTTAACCGAATTGAAGATCCTTATGGAAGGCAGTTCGTTAATCGAAATTACGTTAACCGAGGTGTTCAAACTGTATATATATATATATATATATATATATATATATATATATATATATATATATATATATATATATATATATATATATATATATATATATATATATATATATATATATATATATATATATATATATATATATATATATATATATATATATATATATATATATATATATATACAGTATATATACTGTATAATATATATATAACAAGACTCTATTGTTGATATAATAAATATTGGAAAAGAATTAGTGATAATTTTCCTGGTACCTTTAATCCACTCTCACATCAAAATTTAAATCAATCCTCTATAGTGAGTTATTGAGCACAAACCAAATTTGACACAGACAGATGTTATAGCTGCTCTATCCCCACAATTTTCTAACTGGAGATAAAAAAATCTCTACACAGTGAAGAGCCTAAAAAGTGAAGAAAACAATTGAAAGACATTCCCTAACAGGCACAATACAGTATGTATACTGTATACATACAGTATATTTTGTAGATCCACATTGGCAATGTGGAGAAGATAAATCTTGATAAAACCACAAGCATGTGGAAAAGTCTTCAAGATAAAATCTTTTAATGCAGTAAATTGCAGCAGGCAAGTGTAAATAGTGCTTACCTTGATTCCCGGGGGTCACTAGTTTGCACCCAGGGCACTCCCTGGTAGGAAAGTGAAGGCAGTCATGTGCAGTACTTTCCACAGTGCCTCCTTGTATTCCTCTAACAGATTAAGTCTACAATATAACATCTGTGTTACAGCAACAAGTGTAAGTGGATGACAACAGATGAAGGGAGAGTCTGTGTTCAGTCTTGATTCCTGCCAACTTTTGTATAGCAGGAAAAGGTTTGACTGTATGAATGAAGCAGAAAGTATTACTGATATAGTGAGTGTGTGTGTGTGTGTGTGTGTGTGTGTGTGTGTGTGTGTGTGTGTGAGTGTGTGAGTGTGTGAGTGTGTGTGTGTGTGCCAGAAAGTAATTACATGAGGTAAACAAACAAACACCATACTGACAACTGAGACAAACAAAATATAATGATGGGTTGGACCATCAACATCTACAATATTAAGACGACAGATTTACCTTTTCCTCTTTCCCTAATTTCATTCTCCTTTCGTTCTCTCAGGAGTCGCTGCAATTCTTCAAACTTGCCAGGAAAATCATTGAACATAACATCTAGTACGTCTTCACTCCTCACTGCTGTTAAACCTGTGTGAGAGAGAGAAATTGACTCGATAAATGATCTTACATATAATCTCCTGATAACTAATTAATGGTCTTTCATATATCTGATAATTAATGACCTCATATACATTAACCCTTTTGACGTGACATGCCCGGTAACCCGCGCTAAAGATTATAGAAATTAAGCGCGACATGCGGGTATATTCCACGGCCTTGAAAAACCTTACTGACAGAGGCGACATGCGGGGATATTGGAAGGACGCACAAATCGCCACCAAACGCCGACTGCTGCCATCTAACGAACTCCCATTATGCATTGAGCCTTGCTTAGAGGAGTATCACACCAAGGTCAAGTATAAGAAAACTTGTGCATGCACTGTAAATGATGACTAAGGATTTTGAATTGATATTATTCTCTGCTTTATACAATTTTGTATTGATATTATTCTCTGCTTTGTACAACTTTGTATTGATATTAATCTCTGCTTTGTACTATTTTGAATTGATAGTACCCCAATAAAATTATAATACAAAAATAAATTTCTGTTTATTGACTAAATTGATTCCATTTATTTGCCATATATCGGACACTGATTTATACCAAATTTCTGCATTTTTGGGTATAAATGTAATTTTTTCTCTAAAATTTGCACACAGCTGTGACGTTTAGTTCCAGATTCGAATATAAAAAAAGCTCATAATAAAAAAATATATAGAAAATGTGATTGTATGAAATTCGTTTTTGGCTGGATAATTGACACTTTTCTGGAACCGGCGCAAAATTAATTACGCGCCTAAAGGGTTAACCTAGCATAACCAAAATGACATCTAGTTTATTATCACAAGTTACTCAATAGCCAACTAATTATACCACATCCTTCAAACTATTTACACAAAAATAGGGTTTTGATAGACCTAAAAGCAGGCATCAATATCCCCCAACCGTCTGCTCACACAAACAAAAAAGTAAAAATGTATCGGAAAACCATCATCATTTTTACCAACCAAAAAAAATTGACATACTATATGGGAACACAATAACGGCTGCTTACATGCAAACACTCTAAATCAAATACAATTTATAAAGCATGAAAAGAAAGAGAGAGAGAAAAAAAAGAAACAAAAATATTTTGAAGAAAGAAAGAGGAGAGAAGAAAAGAGAGAGAAAAGGGGGGAGAAAGGATGAGAAGGGAAGAGATAAAGAGCGACAAAATGTGAGAAGAGAAAAGGATACATGTGAGAGACAAAAGTAATACAGTATAGAGAAAGGAAGAGATAAAGAGAGAAAAACTAAGAGACGACCACACACACCCAGGTCGCAGGCCATCTCGGAGACTAAGCCCTTGTCCTTGAGATAATCCCGCTCCTGCATGTCAATTGGTCGCCTGCGCAGGTCCGGGTATCGCCGCTTGAATGACATAATACCAAGGTACTGTGAGATCTGTTCCTGTATGAAGTAGTGCTCTCCAATCCCTTCCAGCGGCCAAACGTACTCGACCACTTTCTCGGCGGTGAACGCTTCAGTACTATGAAAGATAAAAAGTTTTGCTCTAGCGTTATCATTAAAAATCTAAGACAATAAAGTGACTCTTCAAATGGCTGTCCATATTAAAAGAAAACCCTGACATTATGGATAACCAAATAATCTACACAAAGACCTACAGTATGTGCACGAGTACATGAAGGTAAGGAACTCGTCTGGTTTTAAGTGATAATTACAGTACCTAAGACATTCCTGTTAAGATAATTGTGTTTATTTTTGGCATGTGTTCCTTCCTGAGACCAGGGGGCAAGAAGTAATGGCACAAACACATTTACACATACTGCTATTTAAGTGCATCAGTGTGTGTGTGTGTTCAAAGTAATATTAACATTTATGTCATCACCACAAAATTTGTAAGGCAGCTGTACATATATATTTTTTGTGACACCCTGTAGTTATATCTTCATTTTCTGACAGGGACTTTAGCATAAACAGTTAACCCACCTGCCCCACCACCCATATGAGTTAACTTTCACAAGCTGCCCCAACACCCATATTTTTTTTTTTACTACAATAAACCCTTGCTACTCTCCTTCAGAAGTGGAAGTTTGGAGCTTGATGAAGTGTACTGTACAGTAGGATGAAATCTGGTTACTGAAGTATAGGGAGATCATTAGGATCACTGTTGGAAGAAGGTGACGCAGTGGTGGTTGGTGGAGAGGCGGGTGGTGGGGAGGCAAATGGTGGGGTGGCACGTGGAGGGGAGGTGGGTGGTGGAGCAGCGGCAGCAGCTGACCGAGTAGGTGAGGGAGACGAATCAGCTGGGTAAACAGTTGGTTCTTTTTTAAAAAACACGTGATTGGTAGTTGTCTCCTCTTGACTTTGAAGTCTTTCACTCTACTAGCATCACTAACACTAGGCATGATACTGACAGCTGTCCTCTTGTTCCAACTTTATACAACCTATGTTGTACTGCTTCCCTCCCTTATCATATTTATGTATATCAACTCCACTGTAAAGTACGTACAGTATTACCCCGCCTAACGCGGTTTCACTTAACGCGTTTTATCATATACATGGTGCCTCGCCAGAGCTGAACTTTCACTTAACACGGATTTTTTCCACATATACGCGGTGAGTGTCCGGCTCGAGATGCTATTTTTAGATTTGCCCCACCCTGCCTGACTGCCTGTTTTAGCTCATAAAATTCATACAAATTACCTGGCCAGAATATAATTTACATTGCTGGAATTCTTATAATTTGGTGATCATTTTGAATATAAACATCATATTTTTGCATTAGACATACAAATTTTAGATAAAAAATTTTCTCAAATTAACTATGTTATCTTTTGTGCAAAATATATGACATTTATATTCAAAATATTCCTGGTCTTACAAGGAATCCAGCAATGTCAATTATATTATCCTAACTTTAGTTTGAGGTATTATTTATTAAAATTTAGTGGTTATCCCACACATCTCCTTGGGACGGTTGGTGGGGGGTGGGGGGGAGGGAGGGACCGACCGACCATCTGTTACCCTGTGAAGAATTATTTTTTTTTTTATTAACTGAAGATATTTGTTTTAGCTCATAAAATTCATACAAATTACCCGGTCTGAATATAATTTACATTGCTGGAATTCTTATAATTTGATGATCATTTTGAATATAAACATCATATTTTTGCATTAGACATACAAATTTTAGATAAAAATTTTTCTCAAATTAACTATGTTATCTTTTGTGCAAAATATATGACATTTATATTCAAAATATTCCTGGTCTTACAAGGAATCCAGCAATGTCAATTATATTATCCTAACTTTAGTTTGAGGTATTATTTATTAAAATTTAGTGGTTATCCCACACATCTCCTTGGGACGGTTGGTGGGGGGTGGGGGGAGGGAGGGACCGACCGACCATCTGTTACCCTGTGAAGAATTATTATTTTTTTTTATTAACTGAAGATATTTGTTTTAGCTCATAAAATTCATACAAATTACCCGGTCTGAATATAATTTACATTGCTGGAATTCTTATAATTTGATGATCATTTTGAATATAAACATCATATTTTTGCATTAGACATACAAATTTTAGATAAAAATTTTTCTCAAATTAACTATGTTATCTTTTGTGCAAAATATATGACATTTATATTCAAAATATTCCTGGTCTTACAAGGAATCCAGCAATGTCAATTATATTATCCTAACTTTAATCTGAGGTATTATTTAATACTAAATGTTAAAAACCCTGGAAGGGAGGATTGGTGGGGGGTGGGGGGGAGGGTTGGGACTGACCGCGCGGTTGGAAGAGGGGGGGAGGCAAGGTTGAGTCCATTATTTGAATGGACATTAACTTGGCGACTGTATTTCTCTATTTCTCTTAAGTATTAATTGTGTGCATGTACCATCATAAAATTAAGATGTTATTTTTACTACAACATAGGTATGTGCCTTCAAAAAGTGGAGTTTGGGGGTCGGGCCGGTTTCTATTGGAATTAATCCCATATGTTCTGTTGTTCACTTAACGCGGATTTCACTTGACGCGGGACCCTCTGGGTTCAATTGACCGCGTTAAGTGGGGTACAACTGTATATACTATACTTATAATATAAATTAAAAAAAAATAAAAATAAAATAAATAAAATAAATAAATATCAAAGTGATAACTGCAGTAACATTCTGATACATTCTTATTACCACCATGCCATGTGTACTATTCCAGATACTAAATGTTACATAATACTTCCTTGAGATAAACGTACAGTATACATCATATGAGGCACCCCGCATCGTATGGGTTATTCGCACCAAAACTTGAAATCGAGAAAACCGCGTTTAAAGTTTTTCCAACTTCAAACATGCATAACTTTGTTGTTTTTTTGGGATACAGCTAAAGGACTGTACTTGCAGGTGGTAGGTAGAGCGTCATGAAGTAATGTACTGGGTTGTTGCAATGTTGACATGAAGCAATAAAACTCCCACCCGCTTATGGCTTTTTTACTTTAATCAATATCAGAGTGTAGATCGCGCCACAACAAAGGAGAACTGAGGGAGAGGGAGAGAGGGAGAGAGGGATTCTGCCTCAATGGCAGGAGGGGCTGTGACGTAGATAGCAGACGCTCACTGTCACTGGGCAAGACGGGGGAGGAGGCTGTAGGCCGGCCGCTGTGATTGGCCGCCCGCTCCTCTCACTAACTCACAGGATGAGAGAGCACCTAACGACACGAAACCCAAGCCCACAATTTCCTGTCTGCCACAAATCGATGTTCTACCCTATTTTCAAAGGGCTTTCAACCTCATTTACAGTGTAGTAAGGAGATCTTATCAACTACCATCGTAGAGAGCTCAGCCGAAAATAGTGCTTTCCAACAAAAAAACGGGTTTCACCCGGATGGTCTGAATCCACCTTACGATGCGTGACGCCTCATATCAGGTGCCTTCAAGAGAGCCCAGGTTCTCAACTGGCTCAGCATTGTTAATACAGTACAGGTATTATGATTTTTATCAACTCTGTATCTGTGTTCTTATGGCTAAATAAACTGTTTCAATATCAATATCAGTGTTTTAGGGGCCAATTCACACAGAAACACTAAAGTTTTGAGTACAACACAAGAGTTGCTGCATTGCAGGCAATGGTTGAGGACAAACAAAGGGAGAGGGGGAGAGGAGACGCTGCGGGAGCATGGGGGGTGACTTGTTGTGCTGCGGGAGAGGCTCATAAGCTAGCTAACATCTGCTTACCACAAATAGTCGAAATCACAAATCACAAACTCGCGAATGGCAAGGGTTCACTGTACTTACTGTATATGATGGCCACACCTATACAGTACAGGAAATTCGTTGGGAAGTATTTTGTACATTGGTGTTGGGGTTTAAATATAAGATGATGCAGACAACGCCACATAACTCTCTATGTATCACTGTTATTTAAGATGCCAAAATATTGTATCATTAATTAGACAAAGAAACACATGTTGACATATGAACCATACCCAATTTTTCTCACCTTTCTGGCACAATAACTTCACAGCGGAACCTACGAACTTCCCTTTTAGAGGAAGAGCCTTGGGAGTCTTCATCCTGGAGAAGACTGTAATCCATTCTTGTCTCCTCATCCAGCAGAGATGGGTCTGTGAAGTGCCATTTAATAATAAAACAAACATCAACTAGAAAAAGACAAAATTCCATACACACTTCAGTTACCATACTGTACTTTATTCAATATAAAAAACAAATTCAACTAGCAAAATTCTCTATACACCTCAGTTATCTCAGTTCATATGCAACACATGAAAAATTTTTGTGCTTCTTTCCCATGGCATTGGTTGTGTGGCTGTTCAAATTCCTGTGTGGGGTAGTGACAAGTTTCTAGAGAAGACCACTATACTAGGATACTGGTTTAAGGTTAATAGCTTCTTGTTGGAGGAGATAATACAACCCAGCATTTATGTTATAATGAAGGGGGTGCTACACAGGGGTCATGACCAGGAGGAAGGTATCAGTGACATTCAATGGTTTAAGAGGGACTGCAGACTGAACATGCTACAATATATATAGAGGGAAGTTAAGAATATGGATGTGAGTGACTGACAAAGAGGAAAGAATTGGCATTGAAGAAGTTGTGGTTGTTTTAGATTTATATTCAACTGCCAGAGTTAATAAAGCACAAAACATACAGTCTCTTAATTCTTACACCAAACAACTTAAAAATTCAAGGTGGCATCACCATGCAGGCTTTGTGAATCTTCAAAGAGGGACCTGGAATGTGATACACAGTTGGATGGACAAAAAACTAAAAGGCTGGGTCTGGGTTAATTATTTCCACACACACTCAACAATACTGACAAAATTAAAGCTGAAAGCTTACCTTAAGGCTAGCAGCAGACAAATGCAGGAGAATCACACAAACAAGAAAAACCAGAAGACATTATAGGTGGCAATGTAGGCATACTGAAGACTGACAATGGAATCCTATGAACAGATTAACAATAAGTGTACGACCAGGACACAGGTCATACCAAGCTCCTAGCAACACAACAGAATCCTTAATGGGAGTAAGGTGAAGCAATCCAGTACACGTACTTAAAAGTGAAATTAATGACTATTCTTTCTAGAGAATATAACACAACACAGTACAGCATTTACGGCACACATACCTGGTCGTTCCTTCATGAATTTCCCGCCTTCTCCTCTTGGCCTTTCATATGACTTCTTCTTTTTCTTCCTCCTTTTCGAGGGTGTGGATGATTCATCATCCTTTCCCTCATCTTTTTCTTTACTATCACTATTTATGTCCTTCTCTTGTACTTCCTCCTCGTCCCCATTATTATCTTCAAGACCATCTCTACTGTCTTCATCTCCCTTATGTACTTGTTCTATCACCTTCTCAATTTCAGGTAATTTAATGCTTGCCACTTCCTCTCGCTTCGTATCAATGTCCATCATTTCTGATTCAGCGACTTCACCCAATGCTTCCTCGGTTTTCCTTGTCCCTTGGGATGGTAAAGGTGGAGCAGTTGATTCCTCCACCCGAGCCTTCTTCTCTGCTGGTTCTTTTACTTCTGGCTCTTTTCCTTGAGTCGATGACAGGTCGTCCTCGAGGGTTCTCTTCTTTCCTTGTTCCTCAGCTTTCTGGGTACTTTGAGGAGCATGTCTCTCGGGCGGAGGTGGTTCCGTGGCCTCTTGAGTAACATCGGGCACATGCTCTTTCGGCAGTTTGATGGCAGCTGATGAACTCTCTATTACTTCTTCTACACTCAAAGTCTCTCTCTGTGATTGTCTGTCATCTACAGATGTCTTGTCACCCACAGATGTCTTGTCGCCCACAGTCACCTTGTCACCCATAGTCATCTTGTCACCCAGAGTCATTTTGTCATCCATAGTCACCTTGTCACCCACAGTCATCTTGTCACCCATAGTCATCTTGTCACCCAGAGTCATCTTGTTACCCATAGTCATCTTGTCACCCAGAGTCATCTTGTAACCCAGAGTCATCTTGTTACCCAGAGTCATCTTGTCACCCAGAGTCATCTTGTCACCCAGAGTCATCTTGTCACCCAGAGTCATCTTGTCACCCAGAGTCATCTTGTTACCCAAAGTCATCTTGTTACCCAGAGTCATCTTGTCACCCAGAGTCATCTTGTCACTCAGAGTCATCTTGTCACCCAGAGTCATTTTGTCACCCAGAGTCATCTTGTTACCCAGAGTCATCTTGTCACCCAGAGTCATCTTATCATCTATTGTAATCTTGTCACCCAGAGTCACCTTATCATCCACAGTCATCTTGACCTGCTCAGTCACCTTGACCTGCTCAGTCACCTTATCATCCACAATCTTGTCACCCACAGTCATCTTATCGTCCACAGTCATCTTGACCTGCTCAGTCATCTTGACCTGCTCAGTCATCTTGACCTGCTCAGTCATCTTGACCTGCTCAGTCATCTTGTCATCCACAGATGTTTTACCACCCAAGGACTGTGTGGTGTGTACTTGGGGATCCTTTTCAATGGTTAGCTTGGGAGCCTCTTTATGTGTTGGTGACTTCTTCCTCTCTGGGTGTTCCTTCAGCTTCTGAGTACCTTTGTGAGGACCTACTCCAGCTGCTGGTTTTGAGATGACCTTCATAGCATCAGATACCTTCACGTCTTTAGCTGCTGCTGTGTGTGGTATGGAAGATGGATGCTCCTGTTTACCTTTGAAGGATTGTTGTTCTCCACCCTTGATGATCAATGACCTTTTGTCTCCTGCAGAAAAGAAAATGACAAATACTCATACCGTATACTGAAACAAAGCATTGCCAGCTACAAACTTAACTGTTCCACAAGTTAAGTCACAAGTGATGTGTGTGAGATGTCTAAACAACACAAGACAAATTCTATTATAACAAGTTTAGCAATATGTCCTCACCCTTCAAACATGACCCCTGTATCAAGCTGCACCATTTAAAAATAAAAACTATAAGCACTCAAATTTTCCCACTGCACCTGTATTTAAGAAAGTGATGATATTAATGAGGAGGAAAATTAATACACCTGTATTGCCAAAATGAGGGATGCTTATTCTCTTCCGAGGCAGTGTAGGTGACTATAAAGTTGGTTCATTTGAATCCTTAGATATGTTCTTACATAGTACAGTATTGTCTCATCAAAGGTTGGGTTAATTAACTTTCAAAATTAACTCATTAATTTTATTTGGGAATATGACCAACAAAGTTATGTTCATCACCTTTTGAAAAATAATTAGTTAAATTAAAATCATTTGCAAAGTTAAGTTTTTAACTTGATACATTAATTTTCTGCTCCCTTGGATGTAGTCCGTAGAACCATCATTATACATAACTAATCATGGTATAGGACAGTATTGAAAACCAGTACGGTACTTAAGTAAGTTTCACTGCTAGGAGTATGTGTGTGTCTACGTCTAATACCCAGTGTGACTGTGAGACATCACGATGTTTGCTTGGAATAGTAACCTGGACAGATGATCCAAATGTATGTTTGTCAATGACCCATGAGCAGTCAGTGTCTCGGTGACCTGGAGAGACTCAGTGCAGCACTCCATGATCATAAACTGTGTGTGTGTTCAGTTGTCTTCTGCTAACAGAGACTTGTGGACCTAAATTCCTTTGGTGGAGAGAGGAAAAATCGGCCCAAATTATAAGTTGTGTGGAACTAAGTCTTCATGTACAGTAATCAACTAAGGACCTTTCCACTGAGCATGAAGTGGTTCAAGTTGGCACCAGGACACAACATTGTCATGTTATGCTTATGACATAATACTGTGCTTCTCTGTGTATGACACAGAGGTCAAGTTGACCTCAAACAGTGTGTCGGGTGATGTTTGCAAGACTAACTTGGTCATTTTGATGACTTCATGAGTCACAGATGCCATGTCTAATAACCAAAGTGGTAGTGTAACACCCCCTAAACTCGTCAAGTTGTTAATGTAAATTTTTTTAGTGCAGTACTGTACAGTACGTACTGCATTTAGCTACAGGTGATGTATCTCAAGAGATTTTAAGTAAATCCTGATTAGAATCTTGGTGAATCAACGAGTCTGGCAAATCTGACTTACAGTGAATGTAACACTGGAAACAGTCAAAATAAAATCACTGCTTTTCCATTTTGCCCGAATCTGTGGAAACATTTGACCAAACGACTTGTCCATCCTGATTCTGGGGAGACAGCTGTTCCCTCCCTGCTAGCCTACACACCTTGGCCCAGTAATCTTTCAAGTCCAAAGGTCAGTGTGTGTGAAATGACACAACACTCTATCTCTGATGGGAAGATAGCTGACATATTAAGACTGTATCAACTGTTTGCATCTAGTAGCTAAGTCAGTTCCTATGTACATATTGTACTGGAAATACTCTGTAATTCAATGCCATAACATCCTAACCACTGGGGTCTGTTATACACACCTTTTATGACCTCTACTCTGTAACCTTTCTGTGCTATCACTCAAAGGGTGCAAAAGGTGAGCATGCGGTGCACAATAAACTAGCAACTGTCTGCAGGGAAAACTGAAAATGAATTCTTAAATATTTACAAGTCCAATATTTTTAATGTAAAGTTAACTGAAAATTAACTGAAGTTAATCAATTAGAGTAATTTGTGGATATCTTAATTAGGTGAAGTAACCCGTACTTCAAAATTGAGCTTCCCAGTAATTAATTAACTTAAGTTCATTGGTTAAAAGTTAATTAACTTAATTGAGCTAACCTTGGTACAATTGAGTATTACCATTATGTAGCAAGTACTGCCAAAGATAACAACACCCCTTTCCCCAATCCAGTGAGCATTGCATTGTTGAAGAAGAAGTTAACTTCTATAAGTACTGTACAGTATACAGGGGGGGGGGGATTCACAATAATGACTCCCAATCAGCGACTATATCTCTGATACCCACCAAGTGATACAGAAGGCCGTAGAATATAATAATACAGTACAGTACTAAACTATCCCTCATATACCTGAAAGGAAAACACTTGAGGAAAAAATATAAATTAATCTTTTGAGTCAGGCGGCCGAGGTACCTTGTGGTAAGCCAATACTATGAAGACATTCTCTTTGTAGCTCTACTTTAGATACAGAAAATCAATTTATAGATACAGTAGCCATGAATTCAAAGAAAGAGGATAAGAACTGGACTGACTACCTAGATGGCATTCTTTCTTTACTTTAAAGGTAGAAAATACAATAACTGTACAGTACATAGTTTAAATTATCTAACTACAGATAGTCCAATTTCATAATCTATTCTTCATCCTACTGAATTTTTTTCAGGAAACTGTAGAATCTTAATACTGTACATGCAAAGCAAGTTGTAAACATTTTCTATGATAAAGGAAGTGGCAGAAAAGTTTATATGAAAATTCTATATATAAAATCAACAAAAATAAAATTAAATAAAAATCTCACCTTTCTCCAAGTCTAATGTGTTCTTTGCATGTTTATCCTGAACAGTACCAACAGTTTTTGGCTGAAGGGAAGGCTTTAGAGGGCCTACATCTGAGATACCAACTTTCACTGTGGTTGAAGACTTATCTGAAGCTTGATGATCATCTTTACTTTCTGTTGCTGTGGATAACTTTACATCCACAGTTAATTTTGTGTTTCTGGCATGAGTGTCCTCTTTGCTTAGCTCTGATTTCAGTTGAACTTCCTTAATTTCTTTGACTACATCTGCAGTAACATCAGTGATGCTTGGAGTTGGTTTTGTGTCTCCTCCCTTCACAACATCAGGGGACGTAATTGGCAACACCTTCTTCTGACTGCTTTCACTGGTCGTAGCAACAACCACACCTTCAGCAATGTCTTCCTTCTGAAGTGGCTCTTGTCGATCTAAATTTTTTGCCTTTACAGAAGCAACAAAAGATTCAACTACTGTCCCCATAGTGGGGGCACCAACAGCAGGAGCACCAGCTGATTGGCTACTGTTTTCACTAGTATCCATGGGTTCATCTAAAGCAGATGATAAACTACTCTCTTCCTGGTCATCTTGGGCATTATCTTCAGAACCTGATACTTCAGCTGATGATGAAGAATAAGAAACCAAGGAGGAAAGGCCCTCTGAAGACTGAGATGGTGTGACTGCACTTGGCACAATGGTGCCAGAACTAGAAAGTTTGCTCGCAACAGCTGATGCAAGAGATGCTAGCCCCTTACTTGAAGTTGCTTGTTTGGAAGAAGATCCCTGGGCAGGTAAGAATCTTTGTGATACTCCTGTAGTAGTTCCTGGTTCACTGATATTACTTGATTTCTGAGGCTGAGTTGATACACTTGAGTGAGGTTTGGAAACAGTTGCAGATGCCACAATATTCGTTGTTGATATTGCAACACCGGGAGAGTTAATTCCTTCAGACTTGTGATATGAACCTCTTTGTTCTGCTTTACCATAAGAGAGAGACTCCTCAAGAGCAGATGGTTGCTGTGTTGGTGGTAAAGGAGCAGGTTTAGATATTGAAGTACAAGTTAGGGTAGGTTTTGGTGGCACTGGTGCTTCATTGGGCAGGGGAATATTAGCAACATCTTCAATGGTAACTCTATTAGCACTGCCTGAAGTAGGTTCAGGTGGCTTAACATTCTTCAACACTGGGTTAGCATGTTGACCAGTGCCTGGAGGACACACACCTTGACCAGGTGTGGGAACTCTGGGAGCTCCTTGGGGAAACTTTTGGCCTTGCAGAGACCAACCAACTTCCATTCCAGTACACAACTCTGGCTGTTTCTTGCCTGCTAAGTCCTTGTTGCCTGGAGGAGGCTGTCTACTTCCCCCAGAGTTGCCAGACTTGGGTGCTGGGCCACCACAACTTTTGCCATCCATCTTAGTACAGTAACTTGCTGGAACAATACAACCCATTAATAAATCCATTGGAAGTTTAATTTGCTGAATTAGTTCACGAACATGATAAACCTTCACCGTCTTTATTGATTAATAGGTATTAGAACAATGATGGATTACACAACTGTTTAACTGTAAATAAGAGTGACTACAAAGTAAGAAAAAACAAGCCTACATGCAAACATTAGACTGTACAGTACACAAAAAGATGTTCATGTGACCTCTTTTTAGTGTCTGTGAATGAGATAAGAGCCAACCCTAAAAACCAACTACTGTATGTACTGTATCTGCTAACTTCTACTTGACCATTCAAAAGTTCTGGTACAAACCTTTTTACCTTTTCCACCTACAGTACTTGTCCATCTGACAAGGTTGTTTAATTTAGGAATTACTAAATTGTGTTTTAAAAGTATATTATCTGTAATGTGCCTCAGTTGCAGGACCTTTTTATTCAATGTATAATTTTTTTTAGTCATTTAAGAGCGGACATACAGAACCCAATATTTTGAACAATTTAGTATATATATATATATATATATATATATATATATATATATATATATATATATATATATATATATATATATATATATATATATATATATATATATATATATATATATATATATATATATATATATATATATATATATATATATATATATATATATATATATACTGTATATAGTTGTTAAGTAACAAAATAAATTTACTTGAGTACTGTACTCAAGTAACATTTTTGGGTATCTACTTTTTAAAAGGTGCTAAAACTTTTTTAGTACAGTACTTCTAATTTTACTCAAGTGAGATTTTTCTAATACTTTTGCTCCAATACAATTGAAAAAACAAAAATCATTACCAGTTACATACCCCAAACAAACACACAAAGAGTTATAATGTCTGGGGCAAACTAATAATGTATTTTAATTGATTAATTAATTAATTATTAACCATATTAAAAGAGTTGTGTGGGTGCAGGGTATGGTTTGGGTGGAGCCATGAAGAGTACGGTGTGGGGAGACACCACGCGGTCACATACCTAAAGGTCTTGTGAGGTGAGGTAAATTCAGGTCAGGTGGCAGTGGCCATAACAGCGGACTTTCACTTTTGATCTTCTTGTGTTCATTTGCACCTTGACCACCCACCTCACCTAGTCTACCCTCTTATCCCCCCTTCCCCATCAAATCCCCTCTCTTCTCCCCCACCTTTCTGTTAGACGTCAGTTGCTCTTTGCATATACCTGTACCTAAAATTAATTTCAAAGAGGCTGTGATTCTAAAATGCTTTACATAATTCCATCTTAGATATAAAGCCTATATCTAGACATATATGTGAGATGGAGTGTATTGAAAATTCTGCTTAAATAACTAAGTACCACTGACCCCCCAACCCCAGCAAGATGTTACGTGGTGCGAAAAATTCAGCCACTAATTAATTAAAATCAAAGAGTGACATCACCAAAGCCACACCCCCAATTAGAGGGACAGTTCATAGTGAGTCTTAGTCAGACTCAGTCACTATGGATGCAACAATCATCCACAAACTCCTCAATTGAAGGAGCTTGATAGCTACAGTACTAGGAATGCCCAGGGAAGCAATGGAGCTACTGAGGTCTTTCCTGACATTATTTGACTTATCCATGGAGCTTAACACACCACTACCTGCATCTGCTGCTTGTGAGCATCTGTTTAGTCATGCTGGGCTTATTATTTATTATTTAATTAGTTTATTAGTTTATTATGATTTGAGTACAAAGGGAGTTAGCACCCACAAAAGTGTGGATAGCATACAAGAATTAAATCTAAATTATTATAAATAAGTAGGTGGTGACATATAGGAGTTTGTGACTCTCTCTGTGGTAGGAGGTCCCTGACAGTGGGACAGTCAAGGCAATACAGAGTTTACAGGAAGAGAAGTGCTGGTCATCCCCCACCTCAGATACTTACCAGATTGGCCTTTATCCTAACCTAATGCCAGCAGAGACAACATTATGTCTGCGGACCATAAGTACATGTCGACGATACTTGTGTGGATAAGGATGATCGTAGTGTTGGATGGATATATTTTCAAATCATTCACCATCCCTGCGATGGATTGTAGGGAGTAGAGCGGCTGAACGTACAAGTATTCTCTTTCGGTAGGTCATGCTGGGCTTATATTTAGGACTAAAAGATCTTGAATGGACAACCATAATTTTGAGAATCAGTTATAAATTAATCTTAATAGAAAGATTAGCAAAGAAACATGTGAAATGCTAAGTCTCTTTTATTTTTATCTTTAGTTAACTATTTTTTTTATAATTTACAGTGGATTTAATTTAATATTTGAGAGAATTAATACTTATAATTTTGTTGTTACTTTTTACTTTCAGTACTTGAGTACCTTAAGAATAAGATACTTTTTTACTTCTACTTGAGTACATTGACATTTGGATACTTTTATTTCTAATTGAGTAACATTTTGCCAATGTAACAAAACTTTTACTTCCAGTATAGTTGTATTCACATTCCCTATTATGGGTTTGGATTCTTTTCCAATTTCTTAGAGTATTATTGGATGCTAAGTGAACTGTATGTTTGTATACAGTACTTATTGTTCTTCCTCAAGGAGGATTGAGAAGCTAGCAATCTTGTTTATCAATGGCGTTGTGTTCACTATCGTATCACAAGTCAGCTATTCGTACTTGTGGATGATGAAGACCATCAGCAAAAGTTCATCTGTAAACATGGACTACGTAGTTGGGAGGATGTGAAAATGTTAAAAATGCGGCAGAGAACTGACAGTAAACAAGAAATATTTGTTTCAGTGCAACAACCGATCATATGTTTATCTCCACAAAAGACATAAAATTACACAATGTTGCTCCAAGAGAAGTGCTTTCATTAGTATCTGATATCAAAGTAAGGTTTTTCTGCTTAATAAGCTGAGGGGTTAAGCAAGGTTAGGTAGGTTTGGTTAGGTTGGTTAGGTCTGCTTCTGTTAGGTTCTGTACATTGTCATTTCCATATTCTAGTTTACTATCATCCAAATAACATTTCCATAAATTATTTTGCAATTCCTTAAGTAGAATCTACTGCTAACCGTCTCCTCCAGTAATACTGCAATACTGAGATTTGAATATATTATCCTGTGAAAAAATGTATAACGGACTTAAAATCCATCCAAATTGTTGTACAGTAGTATTCTTTTCCTGACCACACCACGTCCAACAGACATAAATACGTTTGGCTGTGCATGAACCCAGGTTCAGTCACTATACACATCTATCGGATAAATACGGTGAGGTAAGATTTAGGTACAGGTGGAGGAGACAGTTAGCACCAGAAGAACTTTATGGGATTGCACCAAATTTTCAGATGTTGTTGTTTTGATGATACTGTGTAATAAAATTAAAACAACAACATTGTAGTTTTTTTTTTTAGCCTATCCTTCGATTATAAATTACTTGTTAGTGGGCAGGGCATGAAAGAAGAGGGAAATAAAGGTGTAAAAACACTGCCAACACTGATCATATGGCAGTAATTTCACATCTTTAAGTGCTCAGTAAGCAATGAAATACAGGTAAATTATTTACCGTAATTATGGCGCAATCGGATCTCCTGTGGTGACCATGTCATGGTTTATATCGTCTGCTATACGGGAGCCCCCATGGTCTTTGTTTACTTGTCAAGAAATGAACGACAATCTCATTGGGCATGTATATTATAATTTATATCGGAAAGAATTCATTCATTTTTTCAGTATCATTTCACTTGTTGCCACTAAATGAATCTATTTCATAGTTGCAATCAGTAATCTTGACAATCCAAAGACACTTTTCTTCAATGGCATTTCTGGCGCAAATTATGTTCAAGAGAGATATTTAACATTTTCTTATGTATGCTCATATATGACAGTACATACCCAGACTGTGGAATTCCCCTGTTAGGTTAGGTTTGGTTAGTTAGGTTAGATTGAAAACTTTTTCCAATGGTTTTTGATGTGGTTTGAACACTTTTACCTTGATTTTTATAGGAAATCTATAGAATTTGACATGGAAGGTGGCTTATCTCAGAAACTATTGATTTGTGCCAGAAATGAAGGTCAAATTTGTTCATAACACATCAAAAGCCACCAGAAAAACATAGTTTTAACTTCGATTTCATATACAGTAGTGGCAACAAGTAAAATTTTACCATTTTTTCTAGATATCCTGTTTGAATGATATAAGAAAATCAAAACAACAATGGACAGGTTAGGATGTTAGGTAAGGTTAGGTTCTAATAGGTTCTGTACATTGTCAATTTGATTTTCTTATTACTGTATCCAAACATCATCTCCTGAAAATTTGGTGCAATTCCATAAAGTCCTTCTGCTGCTCTCTCCTCCACTATCACCAAGATTTATATCAAAATAGAGGTATTATTTCAGTTTCGATCATCCGGGGAATCGGTTAGGTTACATTAGGTTAGGTTAAATTGGGTTGGTTAGGTTAGCTTGGATATCTAAATACAAAGATGATTGAAACTAAACTTTTACCAAAATAGATTACAATATAGGTTACGTGGTGGATATTTTGCCGTGACCGGCTAAGTTCCTACTAACGCTATTTTACCATGAGTGCACTCCGATTGGCTAAGTACTTTCTGTTTAACATGACGGGGGGTCTGCCCTGGCTAGGAAGTTAGGTCAGGTTCTGTTAGGTTCTAGTAAATGACACCTTTTTCATAATAAGAACATCTGTGGAAAAAATTACCAAAATCGAACAACTCCTTCAGGTTAGGTACATTTATAGCTACACAACGATCGACTCACTGCAAAATAAATGCCAAATGCCGCCAGAGTAACGGTCACATGTCGTTCTCGCGTTGTTCGCCAGTAATGTACGATTAGCAAATCAGAGCGAACTCATGGTAAAATAGCATTAGTAGAAATTTAGCTGGTCATGGCAAAATATCCACTGCCTATAGGTTAGGAAAGGCTGGGATGAGTTCTCCAAAGTTCTATAGGTGTGCTTGTTTATGATTTAACCTCATATTTTCCCTCCTCTTCAAAGCCCTACCCACATTGAAATATATCATTGTCGTTACTCGTGTTAAAGGGGGTCATATTTCCATAAAGGTCATTATCTTTCAAATCACCATGAAAACAAAAGAAAACCCTATTTTGAGTTATAAAATTCCCATTATGGCAAAATATCAATATTTACCTTTATCTATCTCTTGAAGTAAATATCAATCTATCTGTATACATACATAATGAATCAATGCTAATTTTAATGACACTTTTAGTTTATAAATATCAAATTACTCTTCATACCGGCGAGTGTTGGGTCACATTATCAAACCACTAACTTACCTAAATCGCTGCAAATTCATATATAAAATACACATCAACATCCTCAACTTACCTAATATTATCCAGCACTTGAAAATATTAGATAGTTGGTGTTACAGCACTAGTATTAAAGCCAATAAGTAGTGAAAAAGGAGGTACCTTGGCCACACTTTGTTATTGAAGTTTGTTTACCAGCGGCTGATGGAGTCACCTGGTGGCCGACTAATGCAGTGCTAAGACGAAGAGAAGAAATTAATGATTGTACAAAGAAACATATATATATATATCTTTTTACAATCATTAATTTCTTCTTTTCGACTTTATTAATGCAAATTATCTTACTACGACATAAACCGCTAGAACACACACACGCACACACACACACACACACACACACACACTAATTAGTTACAATATTCATCAGTGGTTTGTTAAAAGGAAAAGGTTGAGATAAAATTTACATGCAACCACAGCTGAGATTTTTTTTTAACCACAGAAATGCTTAATTGTTGATAACAATATCGGGACAGGGCGGAAGCAGGGAGATGCCGCAAGATATGGGAAAGTAAGAGTGGAGATACTGTACTGTTTACTGTAATAAGTGATAAGGTAAGGCTGCCTAATGAAGCCGACATTTATCTCATACAGGTCTACCTCCCGCCTCTCTTTTTTTTTAGAGAGAGAAAGGGGTGAAGGAAGATTAGAGGTGGGGAGAGGAAGTTATAGTTCGGAAATTGAAGAAATTTAGGAGGAGGTAAGAGAGGGCGGGCTGACCACCTAGCTAAGCTAATAGTGTGTTCGGGTTGTGTTATGGGTTAGTTATTGTCTGTCGGTACAGGCACTAGGCATCCTACCCTGTCCCATACATGGGTGTTTTAAGGGCCTTATTTCATATTCCGCCGACCCTACTGGCGGATGCTGGTCTAGGGAGGTTGTCTATTGCCTGGCCGTGTAGATCGGGGGTGGTAATGGACCTTTTGAGATTTGGTAACTTTTTGGGAACCATGTATGGTTGTTGTCGTTATCTGGTGGGAGTCTTTGAAGGAGTTCTTGCTCTGATAGGTCTATCATTTGCCAGATTCTGCTGGCCAGGGTGTGCAGCTGCTGGTTGATGGGTTTCATTCTCAGGTCTCTATGTATCTCGGCTGTGGTTCTGGTGAAGGGGTATCTTTCACCTGTGACGAATCTTAGGGCTTCATTTTGGACCACCTGTAATTTAAATATTTGAGTGGTGCTCATAGTATGAAGAGGTATTGCTGGGTAAGTTAATATCGGTGAGATAAATGATGTCACCAGGCGGAGTTTTATTTTTTCAGGAAGCTCTTTAAAGCGGTATAGTTTTCTCAGCTCTCTTCTTGCTGCTGTGGACATGGTGGGAGTAACCTGTCGTGGATATGTTGGCCCAGGAGGGTGCCTCTGCCTTTGTATTCTATCTGGGCATTATTGGTTACTAATGGATGGGTTTTCCTTCTGCATTAGGGTATCACTGTGAATTTTGGGAGACTGGTTTGGATTTTCCATTGTTTTTCGTAATCATTTACCCTTTCTAATTCCCGCCTGGTGTTGTCGACCTGTAACGCTCGCGATTTTCCTTGATGTGTTGTTATTTGAGTGATGTCATCTGCATACACAATATCTTCGTTACCTATTCTAGTGGGAGGCGGGCCTCCTCCTTCCTCCCGTGGTACCTATCCCTCCCCTGGGGGTACCCCTAACTACCCCCCGTGGTTCCCCTACCTCCCCCCCGTGGTACATCTCCCTCCCTTTGTGGTATTCCCTCCCTCCTTTTAAGTTAGGATAGATTAGTTAAGCTATGCTTAAAAGGTTAGTTTAGGTTAACAAGGTTTGGTTAAAAAGGTTAAGTTATCGTTCTTATATATTAGCATAAACTCCCAATTTATGTCTCTGACAATTACACACACACACAACAATATAGACAATAACAAGGGTGACTAAGTAATAACATCCATTAATCACATCACAGAAGAGGCAGGCGTGAGATTGACCAACACCAACCAACATTCTAATCGACCTTTTTTCCTTTATCTAAAATAACAGGAATCGTGTACAAATATATAAATCAACAGGAATTGTGCATATATAATCTAAATTAACAGGAGTGGTGCACGTCGTAATAAACGGAAATTAAAAAGGGTATCTAAAAATTATCTAACCCCTTTTAAAATTTATAATCTAAAATTTATCGTAAGTAGAACACTGTGCTCATGTGGCAGTTCACAGTAAAGGGGTTTACATCCTGGGCAAAAAAATTCTGTCCACTGTTCTCGGTCAAAAAACTGACTTTCCAATCACTCGGTCAGTTCAAGTCTCGCCGTCACTCGCAGCAAAACAAAAACAAAGATGGCGGGTTGTCCAAAAACTGTTGTCGTTTTAAGCTTATCTTCAGATAAAGTTGATCAATGAAATCCCACAACACTCTTCACTCACTCACTTTATTAACAAGGAAAGTTTCAGAGTCCCTTGTCTAAATAATTGGTGAGACTTGAGAATTCACGCTGGCCGCGCTCACCAAAGTCAAATAAAATGTTCTGTAATTTTAATTTATTTGTATACAAATATTCCAATAATAATATATTTCCATTGAAATCACTAAAAACTGCTTCCTAATAATGTTTTAATAAAATAAATGTTTCATTAATAAATAGTACAAAACATCAATTGGCCCTGAAATGCAGTCAAAACTTAGAGAACTCACGTACTTTCTATCTGACCGAGAACAGTGGTATCGCCCGTTTTCTCGCGAAGGGTGCAGAAATTTACCTCACATGACAGCCCCTTAAAAAAAAAAAACTTACAGTAGTTGTTCGTCAAATGTCATAAAGTGGCGTGTTCTGTCTACTGGGATTTAGGTTATGCAGTTTTTAGACGTGGTTTCTGTCTCATATATATATATATATATATATATATATATATATATATATATATATATATATATATATATATATATATATATATATATATATATATATATATATATATATATATATATATATATATATATATATATATATATATATTGTAGTGGATGGATACTCTCCCCTATAACTGCTAATTGATCACTTGCCGTCCTCTTACCAGCCAAGCCAACCAGCGGCGAGTTCCACAGTTGTTGTTGAGATTGTCGGACCGTAGTCCGACACGGGCCTTTGCCTGTAGGCGGCCCGTTTGGTGGTTCCTGCTGGAACACTTGGAGCAGCCAGACAGGATTTGGGATTGGGGATTGGAGGTTGTCCTATCTGCAGATATGAAAGGATACTGCGCTGTGATTGGCCAGTTACCGCCTTCACCTCAGGTCAGACGTAAAGGGAATTCCATTAAAGTCCCAGATTTCAGAAGGGCAGACTTTGATAGTTTAAAGAGGCAGCTGAGAGAGGAGGTGTCGCACTTGGGTGTGAACCTGACAGATGACACAGACCTGATAACGAGATCTGAGATTGCAGAGTTCCAAGACAATTTAAATAATGAGTTACTTAATGCACAAAGGCAGAACATATCATACAAAAAACTCAGATCAGACAACAATGACCCTAAATGGATAAATAATTATTTAAAGAACATTATTGGCCAAAGGAAGGCTATAGATAGAAGGATAAATCGTGGCGAAATTTACCTCCAGGAGTATTAAAAGGTATTGGCCGGTAGGGTTAAGACCGAGATAAGAAAAGCAAAGAGAAATAATGAGCTGAAGATAGCAAGGGAGGCGAAGGCAAACCCCAAAGGATTCTACCAAATGTATCAAACTAAAACACGAGATAAGATTGGACCAATACGTTCAGATACCGGCAAGCTAACTGATAACGACGGAGAAATGAGCAATAATCTGAATAAATATTTTTCAACAGTTTTCACCACAGAAAATTTAAACATGATACCCTAGGCACCGACTCTATTCGAAGATAGTGAAGAAAACAAATTAAGCGAGATAGTAGTGACTAGTAACGATGTTAATAAGCAAATAGACAAACTGAAGCCTAATAAGTCACCTGGTCCCGATGAGATATTTGCCAGAGTATTAAAGGAATGTAAGGAAGAGATTAGTATGCCCTAAGCAAAGTTGCTTAATATGTCATTAAAAACAGGTGTAGTACTAGAATCCTGGAGGATAGCGAATGTAACACCGATTTTCAAGAAAGGGGATAGATCACTATCCTCTAACTACCGCCCAATCAGTCTAACATCAATAGTAGGTAAATTACTAGAATCAATTATTTCAAACTATATTCGAAACCGCCTGGAGAAGCACAAGTTGATCAATGATTCCCAACATGGCTTCACAAGCGGGCGTTCATGTCTAACTAATCTATTAACATTCTTTTCATCAGTTTTCGAATAGGTGGACGAGGGGCACAATTATGATGTGGTATATCTCGACTTTAGCAAAGCCTTCGACAGAGTCCCCCACGAAAGACTAATTAGAAAGGTAGAAGCGCATGGCATCAAAGGTAATATCCTTAAATGGATTAGGGCATGGTTACGGGACAGGAAACAGCGACGTCACAAGTGGAGTTCCCCAAGGCTCAGTACTTGGACCTTTATTATTTATTATATACATAAACGACATAGATATCGGCATAGACAGCAACATAAGTAAATTTGCTGATGACACTAAAATAGGACGTGTAATTAAATCTGACGAGGACTCTGCAAAACTACAGGAAGATCTAAAAAAAAATTTCGAATGGTCGGAAAATTGGCAGATGAAATTCAATGTGGACAAATGTAAAGTACTCAGTAAATGAGATGTAAACAGGGAAACCATTTACCAGATGAACAACGATGCCATTGTGGAATCCGACTGCGAAGAGAGATTTAGGAGTAATGATAAGTAGGAATCTTAAGCCAAGTAAACAATGTGTTTTTGCTCGTAACAAGGCTAATAAAGTACTTGGGTTCATACAAAGGAGTGTTAGTTACAAGACTAGCAAGGTCATCTTAAAATTATATCTAGCACTTGTGAGACCTCACCTGGATTACGCAGTTCAGTTCTGGTCACCGTATTACAGAATGGATATAGAATCCTTGGAAAGAATCCAGAGGAGAATGACAAGACTAATCCCGGGCATTAGGAACCTTGAATACAGAGACAGGTTAAAGCATCTTAATTTGCACTCCTTCGAGAGACGTAGAGTGAGGGGCGACATGATAGAGGTGTATAAATGGAAGTCAGGGTTAAACAAAGGGGACATTACAAAAGTACTCAAACTATCCAACCAGGAGCGAACTCGTAACAATGGTTTTAAATTAGACAAATTTAGATTTCGGCGTGAAATAGGTAAACACTGGTTTGGAAGAAACAGAGTAGTGGATGAATGGAACAAGTTACCAAATATCATCATTAACTCGAATACACTGGATAGCTTCAAACATAGGTTGGATGCTTATATGAGCAATAGGGGTTGGATATAAACGGGACTGCCCAGTATGGGTCAATAGGCCCGCTGCAGTTTCCTCCATTCTTATGTTCTTATGTATCTGTCCTCTATAAGTGTAAACACCTTACATAATATAAGTAACCAAATGGTAGGAATGAAAAGGCATAATCATTGCCTAGTCCAATAAAATGTTACTTTTATGCGTAAACTGGTGGTGACCAACCAACACATTATGGCTAAAACAAAACAATCAATTACTGACAAATGCACGACTAACTAAACAAAGAAAATACATAATAACATTAACATATAATATCAACAAATATAATTATTCATTTTATTCTTGTGATTATTTATTGGCCAACTCAGAGTAAATGCTTGAAGGCCTTACCCTTAAGCCCCGGGTTAGGGTGCTGGTGGCATTATCCCCCACCCGGGGTTAAATCGAGAGAAATCAAATTTTCCAAAAATAATTTGTATCCTTTTAAAATGATAAAACAATAGAAAATGAGTAAGAAAAACTATATATTGACCTCGAGAAACTTCTCTGACAGCTCAGAAGGGGGGTAGATAAGGAGACAGTGTTAGTTTGACAGCTGACGCTCGTGGTCCCTATGCACTTAGCAGCTATTTTTAGTTCACCTTTGTATCAGAAGTGGCCAATAATGTATGTATTTACTGATCTTAATACTTATTTGCTATAAATAATTCATTTAGAATATTTTATTTGCATAACTTTTCATAAAAAAGTGCTTGGCAACACTCACCAGTGGGTCGCCAGTCTGCCTGGCTATCTTTGTGTTTGGTAGAGCAAGTAATGCATAAAATAATAATAATTCCACAAATAAAAACATTAATAACATAATCATAGTATTGTTTTACAGTAATACTACCCTACAATATAACTACACAACTTTTATCAATATTACTTTGATAGAACATGATAAAATCGACAAACAATGAAAATGAAACAAACTAAAGTAGGTAATTATGTTCAGGAAGCTTCCCTATGGCCGAGCGTGTGGTGTGAGAGGCAAATAGTCACACTGGAACCTGATAACCCATGCTGGGCATTTAAACAGTGACGGGAAAAGGTGCGCGTTCTGGAACGTCACCAGGGGCGCGCTGGTCAGACGTTCTGGAACGTCACCCGGGGCCTAAGTGTATAAACTTCAGGTCTGTTAACTATAACTTCAGGTCTATTAACTATAAACTCCAGATCTGTTAAGTATAAACTTCAGGTCTGTTAACTATAAACTTCAGGTCTGTTAACCATACAGGTCTGTAAACTTTAAACTTCAGATCTGTTAACTATAAAATTCAGGTCTGTTAACTATGAACTTCAGGTCTGTTTACTATAAACTTCAAGTCTATTAACTATAAACTTCAGGTCTATTAACTATAAACTTCAGGTCTTTTAACTATAAACTTCAGGTCTGTTAACTATAAACTTCAAGTTTGTAAACTATAAACCTCAGGTCTTTTAACTATAAACTTCAGGTCTGTTAAATAGCCGTCTGTTCTATAAAGCTTCACGTCTGTTAACTATAAACTTCAGGTCTGTTAACTATAAACTTCAGGTCTGTTAACTATAAACTTCTTAAACTATAAGCTTCACGTCTGTTAACTATAAACTTCAGGTCTGTTAACTATAAACTTCAGGTCTGTTAACTATAAACTTCAGGTCTGTTAACTATAAACTTCAGGTCTGTTAACTATAAACTTCAGGTCTGTTAACTATAAGCTTCACGTCTGTTAACTATAAACTTCAGGTCTGTTAACTATAAACTTCAGGTCTGTTAACTATAAACTTCAAGTTTGTAAACTATAAGCTTCACGTCTGTTAACTATAAACTTCAGGTCTGTTAACTATAAACTTCAGGTCTGTTAACTATAAGCTTCACGTCTGTTAACTATAAACTTCAGGTCTGTTAACTATAAACTTCAAGTTTGTAAACTATAAGCTTCACGTCTGTTAACTATAAACTTCAGGTCTGTTAACTATAAACTTCAGATCTGTTAACTATAAACTTCAAGTTTTGGCAGGCTGACTATGCAGGTATCGGGGCTGGTGTGATGGGGGCTGGTCCGGCTATCTAATAACGGCTGGGGGTTGTCTCAAAGGCTTTAGAAAGTCAGACCCACGTCATGCTTAGAATTTAGGTAAGAGCTTCTTCAGGGGGTGAGGGCGAGGAAAGTTGTCATCAATTTCGTAATAGTGGTGTTCCTGCGGGGGCAACTTCGTCTTGGGTTGGTGCTGGTCCATCAGGTACTTGCTGCAGTTATCTACAAGACGGAGAAATAAAGAAGTCATGATGATACTGTGTTGTAGGGCTGTTCTTGTAGTTGACTGAGAGGATAATTGTTGGAATGTGTATATTTTTCAGTTGTTGTTTTCGAGGTAGATAAAATACGGAGAGATGGAAAGGCACACACACACACACACACATAACACCTATGTACTTCAACTTGGTTTAACCCAACCCAACCCAACCTATGCCTTAGAGGAGCAGTTTACATTTATTTAATTATGAGAGTCGCTCAAACGGTGATACAAGTATGAAGCCTGTTATGGTTATTCTTTAAATCCAGTCGATTAGCCAGTAGAAAATTCAAGATGGCAGCCATTTTTCAAGATATCTGATATTTAATGTCAGACATGCAGCAGTGGAAGGGAACACGGTTCTCATGATCAAAGCAGGTGACAGCGTTGTGGTAGTCATTGATACATTCATTCCACTGCACCATCCCTGAAGGAGATGGCCCTGAGAAAATGTGGACTGCCTTTGGTCAAGAAGCAAAATCCTATAACAGTCAGTGGTGGTTAAGTACGTCAGGTGGAGTGTGTCAGTGATTGGTTATACGACTCGATACCACCAACTTGGTATGCCCTGAAGGCAGGAATCATCTGGGGTCAGGTAAATGTCCCCCAACCTGACATCTCAACTCCTGCTGACTGGGGATAGACCATGCAAAGTAACTCTTGGTATAAAGGGGGAGGGGGGGGGGTATCTTTTTATTGTCTTTTCTTATTAATTTATCCCATTATGGTTAACCTTTAAACTCTTCAACCCGTTTTTCTCTTAATTTCTTACTTCATTAATTTTCTCCATTAGTTCTGTCTAGTTATTTCATTTCCTACAGTTACTCCATAACCTCTGACCTTTGGTAGCATGGCGAGGGTTAGGGCACATGTGTTCTGTAATTCTGGTATCAAGTTATGGGACAAGAATAAAGGTAGATACTGAGGGAAAATGATACCCCTAACATAATCTAAAAATGGTTTATTAATATGAAATTTAATTTGGTTAAAGATGTCATTAACATACAACTACAAGGATCAACTCCTTGGCTTACTCATCTGCAATTCCAATTAGATACTCTCGCTTCTTACATCATTACTGGTTGTACATATAAAAGAACACACCACATGACAAGCTTACATATGGCACCTTCACTAGAACTCAGTTGGTAGTACATATGCATGATGCACTCACAACCCACGAGCGTGAGCCTTCCTCGTGCATTCGTTTATGTATGGGCATCTAGCAACTCAGCTTGAGGAGGCATGCCAGAAGAGATTAGTACTTCATCATTCTCACTGGCAGACTCAACACTCACTTATTTGACAAGTTTTACGAACAATAAAGACAGTTGAAGCTTCAACATCACTCACAATGGATCTTAAATGCTTCATCTGTAATCAGACATACATTAGTTGTTGCAAAACAGCGGTGTTCTCGCTCACATTCAAATTTACTTTATAGAGAGGTTGGTTTCGGGAAGTCAGAGAAAATAGACGGCATCTAAGCTAGAGAAAACGCGTTTCTTCCTATGGATGACTCACCAGTTATCCACATGTTTTGAGGGCGTGGGGCATAATATGAATCATCGGGTTTCAAACAGATCAGTCATGCTATTTTGACCATGACAGTGGCAGATATATTGGACCCCGCACCACGTTTTGTAACAAGTTGCCAGGAACTGACTAAGTGTGGCTGCAAGAAAGACTGTAGGCGGGGTGCAGTGTTTACGGTGTGGCTTGACCTACACAGCACTATGCGGCTGCCTGTGCCAGCAGTAGGAAGTTTAGACCTGTACATATATTGACTAATCACTCACTAATATACTGTACCTAAAATACATTGATGTGGCAATATATATTATACGTATTTATGAACAGATGGCCGTCAAGTGGCTTAACGACTGTACAGTATTTGAAGAATATTCATATAAGATTGTTCACGTCAAGTTTTGTGCTTGTATCATCTTTTGGACAGTTCTTATGTTAGATACTCAGCTACCTTAATTTAGTATAACCCAACCCAACTTATCTTAACTCAATCAAGGCTACCTGACTTACGTCAACTCAACCTTACCCAGCCTACCTTGACTTAATCTAACCCAACCTAACTTAGCTTAACACCAAGCTAACCTAACACAACTTACCTTTCATTTTTCTATTCTGAAACCTGAGGAAGCATGAAAAGCTGGTGAAGGCTATGAAGAGCGTCGCCCACCCGATGGCCATAATAAACATCGACATGTCCTCGCGGTCAGGGAACGGAACTTGGCTGGTACAGTCATTCTGGTTGGTGGGACACGTCGCACCTTGTGGAGGAAGGTGAGAGAGTGTGAGAGAGAAAGAGAGTGAGAGAGAAAGAGAGACTTAACTTCCAAGAGTCACCTTAAATTCTTAAATATCAGTGGTAAGTTCTATGTTACTAGAAAGGACCAAAGATCTCACGACTCAGAAAAAAGGTCATGACAGATATCAAATATGAAGACAGGAAGTTAAAGTTCACCGGAATACTCACTAGTCAGGTCACACGTGGACCACAAGACGGGGTCGTTGGAGGTAACACGTAAACCGAAGGTTCTGTGAGGCAGACAGACATCGAAGGGTGTCCCCTCCACCTTCAGCACGGTTCCCATCATCTTCAATTTTGTCTGTAAGTTCTGAATGCCAGGTACATCATAATTATCATTTATGGAGAGAGAGAGAGAAAGGGAGAGAGAAAGAGAGAGAGTATCCATCTGTGATGCTTGATGTATGCAAAACTCTTCGTGTAACTAACATATACTCTGTAAAGAGAATGAATTTCATACTTGATTATCTCTAAAACAAGACAGTTCCCTATCATTTCGGTTACAATATTTATTATATACAACTCCCGACTACAGTCACATATATCTCTTGTTTAGGTACCTTTCATTCACTCTAGATATTTTTTTTTTCACCTTAGCCGTTGAAACACACAGAAACACACTTACAACACCGCTTAAGAAACACTCACACAACCTTCCTGTTGCAGATACATTTTGTACCAGCGTTGCTTCATCAACTTTAAGGGTTTTGTTTGTTGCCAAGCATCCTTCTGTAAATTGTTATCGATGGTTACATCATTAGACAGATTTACGGAGACATCATGAGCGAGGGCCTGAATCCACAGGACCGATAAATCGCTGGTTTGGGTCCAGTTAAATTCAACTGTCTTGTTGAATTTACTGATTTTCACCATACAATCTGTTGGAGGGAAGAAAACTTGAGAGGAAGTTGATTGCCTCTACTTTACTTACTTACATATTCACTAACTCACTTATTTACTTACTTTACACCTATGATATAACCATCACAGTTATAAAATCAACTTACATTTTAACCTTAACTCAACATGTAAACTTTGTGATAAACCTTTGCAGTGGTTCCCAAACTGAGCCCTTGGGGGTGCGGGGTTGGTAGGTACAGGCAAGGTGAAAAACATATATTTTTTCTTCATTAGGAATTTTCAACAAAATTGTGCAACATAATTTTTCTTAGTATATTTCAGTCTTCCCCATATGCATAGTGATAAAATAATTACGAGTTGGCTCATCTTGAAGTAATATGAATAAATCTATTTGAAAAATGGGAGAGGGGCCGTCAGGATTTGGTAAAAAGAAAAAGGGAGCCGTCATGTTAAAAAGTTTGGAACCATTGTTTACAGCACACACTTGAACATTATATTATGGAATATGACACTGTCAAGACTTCAGGCTACCTACTTATTGTATCATGAACTTTGTGACTTCTACACTGAATAAGGAGTTCTTGGGGAGATTTTTGTAGTCTATCCTAAATTTGACAGTCCACACAGGTTAGTCCTCTAGTATAACACTGATGAATATGACCTTTGTGTATGAACCTCTGTCCTGTGTGACAGTGAACAGTGATAGCACCTTCAGTGTCAAGACCTGACTGAACTACTCAGATTAAGCAAATTTTACCTCCATTTTGTCAATGAAGTTTTAAACTAATTTACCTGCTTTTGCATCAGCGAAGCCCGCCATCACTACTATTACCAGGCAGGAGCACAGTGTCCTCGCCAGCAGCTTCATTTGCACACAAGTCGATAGTTATTGGCTTAACAATAATATGCAGTGTTTAGGGCTCGTTGATGCCCCTCAGGATCTTGGAGGTCAGGAAGTTAAGACCACAGGAAGACTTATGTAGAGCCACAGAGACACCCAAACATCTCGTCCACCAGTTCACATGCTACTGGCGTACTGGTTAATGAGACAACACAGGATGCAGTGAGCGAGATAGATAAGATAGTTTGCCAGGCCGTCGTACACCTCCCTATGATTATAATCAAAAGCTTCGTACGTCAACGTTGAAAATTAAAATCCTACAGTAGAGAATAAACTCTCAATGGAAGTAAGATTATGTTAGCTTGGATTTAAAAAAAAAAAGATTCGTAAGCCATCTTTGGAGATATTAAGCAAACAAACATGGAAAGTCAGGATTGATTGTAAGAGTTGATATTAATGTTGTCAGATTCGTAAAGATGTCAGTGGTGGAGAGGTTATAATGACCTTTGTGCTGTCACACCCATAATAACCTTCATGATGTCACACCCATACTAATCTTCATGATGTCACACCAATATGACTCCAAGAATGAAAGGAGACCGTTACACAAGAACCATGCAGCGGTTGATAAACTTAAGAAAAAATCTCAGAAATTCAAGAGGTGGTTTACGACATATGATGAGCAGGACACAAGGATGTATGCCAGGCCCAGGAACCGCGCAAAGTCAGAGTGTAGAAGGGCTGAAAAAGAGTCCCAGAGGCGGATTGCACGTGAGGTCAAGTCAAACCCTAAAGTCTTTTACCGTTATGCAAAGTAGAAATTAAAAACACGTGTGGGAGTATCAGATCTGAGGCTTGAAGATGGTAGTTATGCAGACCCAGATCAGGACAAGGCGCAGGCGTTAAACAAAAGGTTTTCCTCAGTGTTCACACGAGAGGATGCGAACAATCTTCCTGTGTTTAAGGAAAAACGGTTTGACACAGCACTAACGCACATTATGTTCTCAGAAGAATGCACAGTATAAGAAATAAATTATCAAAGCTAAAGGTTCATAAGAGCTTTATCCGTCCCTGACATGGTGTGGTGAGCCCCTTGAGATCCTGTTCTGCGGATGCCTGGACGAGCAAAAGGTTCTCAGTGACTGGTAAATGGCTTGTGTGAACATTATTCTCTCAATAAATCGTTTAGATGTGGCAGAAAGTTGGGTTAGCAGTCATCACCCAGCTCATCATACCTCTCATCTTCATCAAAACCCATATACCCCCAAAAGTCCTATGGCGCCGGACGAGTGGCGACGGGGACAGGCAGAGATGACTGCTTGGAGTCTCTAGTCACAACTCTGCACATGGGCGGCATAGATAAGATGGTCGTTTATACACTGGGATGTAGGCAGCAGTGCAATCTGGTCTTGTCTGTACGACTGAGCAGCCCTCTCAAGGGCCCACTCTGCTCATCCCACATGGGGAGGGGGCTAGAAAAGGTGCCCTAAATGTAGCCTGTCCAATGAACCAACCTGACTGGGCAACCACACCCAGTAAGGTCATCCTTATGCGGTCGAAAACACAATAATAATCACAGATAAAAACAAAAACAAACTATACAACCTCTTATGGTCGCTGCATGGAATGTCAGGACCCTTCTGGATACTGGCATAAATGAGCGCCTGAAAGAAGAACTGCCCTGGTGGCAAAAGAGCTGGCTAGGTATAACATCGACATAGCAGCCATTAGTGAGTCCCGGCTCCCAGAGGAGGGTCGACACACAGAATGGGGTATGGCTATACCTTCTTATGAAAGGGTAAGCCTGTTGCAGAGAGAAACCGCATTTATGGAGTTGGCTTTGCCATCCGCCAATGCATCCTACATAGGCTAACTGAAATACATGTTGGGATCAACGAGCGCCTCATGACGCTCCTAGTCCCACTGAATCACTCACGGCACGCCTTCTTCATCAGTGCATATGCCCCAACACTGCATGTAGAGGCTTGTCAGAGCCAAGCTATCACTTCACGTTGTCTCTCCACTGGAGGATCCGGTGGTAGCACGTGCCTTCAGAGAGCAGCTCGAACAGGGGCTGATAAGCAACCCGACAACAAACAACCTATATATATATATATATATATATATACTTCATGTTCATACCAGCTGGATTCGGTAAAATGCTACTGACACCACATAAGAGGCATGGGCAGTTTCCCAATGAGGTTCACGGCGCCATCAGCTCGATGAACAGGCTTTGTGTGAAATATAACAGAGTCTAGAACTGCTTTTAGTGTCCTTGTGGCCTAGCCGGTAAGCGTTCCCTAGTCCCACCCAGTAGGTCGAGGGTTAGATTCCCTGCTGGTGAGGTCGTTGATTATATATACATATATATATATATATATATATATATATATATATATATATATATATATATATATATATATATATATATATATATATATATATATATATATATATATATATATATATATATATATATAGTAGTGCTGGTGATGGTGGTAATAGCTGCTTTCTTCGACATCAGGATTTTTGATCCCATGGCCACTTGTCACCGTAACCTAGCTCTCGATGCTGCACATAGGAGGAACGAGAACGACAAGAGAAGGGCATATGGGGAGAGAATTAAAAATGTTTAGATCAAGGCAGCTTCACTCCTCTAGTGTTCATAACCTCTGGTGGGATGGGCCCAAGTGCAAGATGTTTCTACTTCAGACTCGCGGAGGTGATCTCCGAACAGAAGCAGCAGCCCAGAAGTTATGTTACAGCCTGGATGAGATGTCGACTGTCCTTCTCTCTCCTTCGGTCGGCTTTGCTCTTCCTCAGGGGAACGAGAACTTCTGCCCCTACTCCGACAACTGCTGCAGATATTGACTATGAGGCTACTGTCACTGAATGCCGCATAGATCTGCGGCTCAATTAATTTAACACAGATAGGATAGCTTATTATGTATTAGGATATTTAATATTAAGGTAAATAAATGGTGGCGAAGGTGTGGCTATTGGGGGAGGCTGGAGGCCACGAAGTAGTAGTAGTAGTAGTAGTAGTAGTAGTAGTAGTAGTAGTTGCAGCAACTGTTGCTGCAGATACCAGAAAATTTGAAAAAAAAGTAGCTATAGCGCAGGAGGTGGGCGCCTCAAACTGGTTAACTACATTACCGATAAGGGCAAATGGTTTCAGTCTTAATAAACAAGAATTTACAGATGCCATTGCTCTAAGGTACGGTCGGCCAGTAGAAGGTTTGCCCTCCCAATGCATGTGTGGCTCTTCCTATGATGGCGATCACGCCATGGTGTGCAAGAAGGGGGGCTTCACATGCATGAGGCATGACGTGGTAAGGGACCTCACAGCAAATATGTTGAAGGAAATCTGCCGGGATGTCATGGTAGAACCGACCCTCCTTCCATTGGATGGTGAGATCTTCCAACACAGGACTTCAAACACATCTAACGAAGCCCGTGTGGACGTCAGTGCTCGAGGATTCTGGACGCGGGGACAGCGAGCTTTCTTCGACATCAGGATTTTTGATCCCACGGCCGCATGTCACCGTAACCTAGCTCTCGATGCTGCACATAGGAGGAACGAGAACGACAAGAGAAGGGCATATGGGGAGAGAATTCAAAACGTTGATCAAGGCAGCTTCACTCCTCTAGTGTTCACAACCTCTGGTGGGATGGGACCAAGAGCAAGATCTTTCAACGTCAGACTAGCGGAGGTGATCTCCGAACAGAAGCAGCAGCCCAGAAGTTATGTTACAGCCTGGATGAGATGTCGACTGTCTTTCTCTCTCCTTCGGTCGGCTTTGCTCTGCCTCAGGGGAACGAGAGCTTCCACCCCAACTCCGACAACTGCTGCAGATATTGACTATGAGGCTACTGTCACTGAATGCCGCATAGATCTGCGGCTAGCTAATTTAACACAGATAGGATAGCTTATTATGTATTAGGATATTTAATATTAAGGTAATTAAATGGTGGCGAAGGTGTGGGTATTGGGGGAGGCTGGAGGCCACTTTTTAATAAAAAAAAAAGTAGTAGTAGTAGTAGTAGTAGTAGTAGTAGTAGTAGTAGTAGTAGTAGTCATAAAGTTAATGGTGGCGTTAGGTGTGGAAGGAAGGAAGGATTTAAAAGGGCTCTCAGCTCACTTCTTTACAACCCATTTACAACCTTTTAAAGCCCCCGGGGCGGCGCCTGCTTGCCGCCCCCTCATGAATTTTCCAGCCAATCCCGACCTTAATGACACCATCAGCTCATAACACGTTAACGGGGTTGGTCGGCGAACTATCATCTCTTACACCATATCTTGACGTTAATGTGTCTCCATTTTTCTAGAGGCAAGATATGGCAGAGTGGGTTATTTTGGGGGTAGATGAGGCAGAGTATTGAAACATTGATACTGAAACAGTTTGTTTAGCCAAAAACACAGATACAGAGTCGATAATAATAACAATATTAACATGGCTGAGCCAGTTGAGAACCTGAGCTGTCCTGAAGGCACTTGATATATACTGTACATTTATCTCAAGGAAGTATTTTTTAACTTTTGGTATCATCTGGAATAGTACACATGGCATGGTGGTAACAAGAATGTATCAGCATCTCACCACGGTTATCACTACAATATTTATTTATTATTAGTAGTATTTTTTTTACATTTATATTAGAATATATACACACTTTACAGAGGAGTTGATATATGGGTGTATTTAGGCGGAACGAGAGGACAGAAGCTGTCAGTGTCGTGTCTTGTCGGCAAATATGATAATTGCAATGGTAATTTCTATCTATTCACATGACAATTTCTGATATAATGGTTTTGATGGTACAATAAAGGTAGGAATATAAGAAGTTATTACAGAGATACTTCTACGATAAATATTTCTTTTAAGAGATGATTTAAAGGAAAGGAGCGTAGTCTTTGCTGGGATGGGTGAGGGTAAGTTGTTCCACATCTTCACACCGTGATATTTTATGGAGGTCTGGGACTGAGAGGAGCGCATGGGGGGTGGTCTTAGTAGCTCTTGGTGCCTTAAGCTGTATCTCTGATTATTCCTGAACTGGAAATAATTATTGTCAGTCAAGTGGTTGACAGATTTGTAAACAAATTGACAAATTGTTCGTTTGTGTGATCATTTTATTTAATTTTTTCTAAGTAGGTCATTGTCCGCACTACTT